AGTTGCTCCTCCACAAGAATTCTTGTGCTAGCTTTATCATGTTTTGATTGGAGAAACAAGTTGGGAAGAGCAAGACCACACAGGCAAAGCGTCATTTTCATACTAGAGGTACATACTATCGATGCCAATTGTAATCCTGAGAAATACCTTGAATGCTATGATCTTCAAAGTTGAAATTCCTCAAAATCAAAGTCACTAAAGATCCCTTAAGACTAAAAATCTCTAAAGCTAAAAACTCCCAAAATCATAATCCCCAAAGATTAAAAGTTTCAAGTGTCAAAAACTACAATTCCTGTGGATAAAGGTCTACTTAAAAGGGCTGGAAAGCTGAGTGTATGCACTCAGTCAACCATGTTTGACTTTTGTGCCTGCACATCCACATCTATTGTTATGCTGGTTTTAAAACAAAACAAAACCCCAAAATATACCTTTGAGTTCTCTAGTGTTACAAAGCACTATAAGAAGAACTATTCTTAGGAACCCCACTATCAAAGAAAATAAATTTCTAGGATTACCATTAAATCTAACAGAAAAACTAGCACATTTAACATTAGATAATGTAAATCATCCCCACCCTTATTTTTAAAATCAAATCTACAACCACATTTCTTTTGGATCCTTAAAATTCCAGAACATATTCATTTATTTAAGTATTGGTCACTGGAAAAAGTTAAACACTTTTTCAATGCTTATTTGGGGAGTTTGTGGACTTTGTAAAAAATGTATTTCAATACTACAAATAACATTTCTCTCTTTCAACAACAAAAATTGTCCAAGTGGGAACTAATTTCACCTACTAGTTATGAGCCTGGTTAAGATGCCCACATTCCCAACGGAGTATGTAAGCACAATGCCCAGCTCGAGTTCCTTATTCTAGCTTCCTACTAATGCAGGCCCTGGGAGGCAACAAGTAACAGCTCAGGTCACTGAGTCTCTAGTGACTAGGAATGAGTTTCTGGCTCCTGAATTTGTCCTGGCCCCACTTGGGCCGTTGTGGCATTTAGGGAGCAAACCAGTGCTTCAGAGATCTGATTTTTCCTGTTTCTCAAGTAACAATAAATTAAAAACTGAATTGTTTTTGCTCAGTATGAAAACAAAAGTGCTCATGTTACTCTCACCCCACGCCTTCCTAGTCCCCTCTTGCTTATGGGCAATCTAAGACTGAAACACAGAATTTAGGTTTGAAACAGAGACATTTGTAATGATTGTCCAAAGTCATAAATCCAAACACGTGGGGGAGTTCTGCCTTCAGGTCCTTTTTTTTTCTTTTATTTATTTATTGGAAAGTCAGATATACAGAGAGGAAGATCTTCCATCTGATGATTCACTCCCCAAGCAGCTGCAATACCTCGAGCTGATCTGATCTGAAGCCAGGAGCTAGGACCCTTTTCCGGGTCTCCCATGTGGGTGCAGGATCCCAAGGCCTTGACTATGTTCCCAGGCCACAAGTAGGGAGCTAGATGGGAAGCGGGAATGCTTGGATTAAAACTGGCACCCATATGGGGTCCTGGCACATGCAACGTGGGGAGTTTAGCCATTAAGGCTACTGTGCTGGGCCCCTGGAGGTCCCTTCTTACTTCATCATCTACCGCTCTACTTAGTAACCTGGCTGTCCACTATCCAAATGTGGCCCATAAGCATTTTCTTTAGCCTGCTTGGTATTTATCTATTGGTGACCAACTCAAACACCATTTCTGATTTTTAGTACATGTATTATTGCATACAGTTAAGATACACAACATGATACTAGGAATACATTTAGACAGTAAGCATGTTGTCATGGTGACACACATTAACACTTCTGTCATCTAACATATATATCCAATTTTATTTGGCATCAATGGCTAGAATCTAGTAATTCAGCACACACAAATGTCATTAGCAGAATGACCTATAACCCTCAGGTTCCACATTAGGTCTCTAGACTTGTTCATCCTTCAGTTTGTTACTTCATATCCTTTGCTCAACAAATCCACATTCTCTCTCTTCATGCTCCCATCTCTAATCCTAATAATTATTTTGTTCTCAATCTCTGTGTATCACACTTGTTTTTTACAAAAACATCAATACAAATGAGAACATGCAACATCTCCTTTTTCTGTGCTTGGATTTTCTTAGAAAAGTATCCTTTAAGCTATGGCACGTTGCAAACAGCAGAAACTTTGTCCTTTGTAGGGCTGAAGAATATTCTATTTTATATACATAACACAAGCTTTATCTATTAAACTGTCAATGGACACTTAGGTTGTTTCCATATGGTGGCTATTGTGAATCAAGTCACAGTGTCCGAAGGACCACAGCTATCTTTCCAAGGCAGTGATTCATTTCCTTTGGGTGTATGCCCAGAAGAGAAATTGCTGGATTGGATGATAGATCAATTTTTAATTTCCTTAGAAACTTCCATATGCTTTTCTCTAATGGCTGCTTAGAACTCATTTATTTATTTTTTATTTTGTTGTTGTTAAAAGACTATGCTATTGCTTTTAATGGCTGCTTAGAATTTAAGAAGGGCAAATGATTGCCAATGTTTAAAAGACTACACAAGGAGCCAGCACAACAGCTCAACTAGCTAATTCTCCACCTTGCAGTTCTAGCATTCCATGTGCACGCTGGTTTGTGTTCTGGCTGTTTCACTTTCCCATCAAACTCCCTGCTTGTGGTCTGGGAGAGCAGCAGAGGACAGTCCTAAGCCTTGGGACCCTGCACTGGCGTGGGGGACCTAGAAGAAGCTCTGGATTCCTGGCTTCAGACTGGTTCAGTTCCAGCTGCTACAGCCATCTGGGGAGAGAACCAGCAGATGGCATTTCTTTCTGTGTATCTCCTTGTCTCTGTAAATCTCTTTCAAATAAAAATTAAGGAATAAAACACTTAACAAACAAACTCAAGTTTCTGACTGTTCTTCAAAAAAAAAAAAAAGAGAGCGATCTTGTACCACTTGTACCATTAGGTTCACCTCCTTACTTGGAACATTACCAATTCAGATGGAAATGCACTCTCAGATTTGCTGACACCTTCCTCTCAGCTCTCATTTGTTAACTTCTAATCCTTACAGACATCACAGGTTTGTAACCCACACATGACCTCTTACCTTACCTTAAACTATAAATATGATTCTTAAATCTGTAACCAAACCTATTTTTCCTAAATTAATTTTCTTGCACTTACACTACCTTCCCTAAGTAACCAGAATAACAGAATTACATTCCCTTAATCATTCTCCTCCTACCCACAGCTTTTCAGTCACGTGTGGGAACTGTGACATGCTTAGGTCTTTGCTTTCATTGTCCCCAACAGTTTAACTTGTTGCCTTCCTGACATCCAAAACCTCCGCCTACTCTCCAAAATGAAGCAAAATCATCCGGTCTCTGAAACTAGACTCGTTGCTTCAAAGGACACTTAGGGCCTCTTTTCCACGTTAAGGAACCTCAATTACATTACATGTTATTTAGCATTGACTTTCCGCTCTCTGACGAGGCTTGCAATTCCTCAAGAACAATGATCCAGATTAATCATCTTCATACCACCTTCAGATAAAAGAAAAAAAAAAACCAGGAATGGAATGTGATAAATGTGCAAAATTTACACAAATCAGTGAAAAGATTATGTCATGTAAACAATTTGTATATTTCATTTGCTTCAATTCATACTCCAGTCTTAGGTTAAACTGATTTTTTTCCTAGTACTTTTTCACTGTTTACTTTGGATTAATTCTAGAATCTTTAGGTTACGCACCATGTGATTACAAAGTTAAATGGTTATGTAAAAAAAATGAACTGGCATCACTCTCAAAAATATGAAGACTTAAAAAAAAAAAACACCTTGTTTTAAATATCTAGGGATGCCTGGTATTATTTCTGAAGAAATACCTAATTATTTATAAAACATATCCCATAGGGGCAACTGAACAGCTGTCAAAAGGCCTGGCACATCACGATGCCAGCCTGAATTTAACGACCTACATGTAAAGGGCTACATATCCAATTACTAATCCTCACTCTGCTACTCACTGCCCTGATATGGAGGCAGCTGAAAAAAGATGTCCTACTAACAGATCAGAAATGGATCCAGGCTTCACTGCCAACGTCCAGAGAACTTTAGATTCGAGAAGAGAGGCCACAGCAATGTGACAGCTGGAAGTTTTTCAAATGCGACTTAAGGGTTTAATGCAATTGAATGACTTTTTTTTTTTTTTTTACAATTTAAATTCAAGGAAATTAGAACTCATTTAGAAAACCCCACATTCTCAATTTGATTTTCTATTCTCTGAAATCTTTTAACATGCTCAAAGGCTTCAAACATAATATACTTCAGGTAAGTTTCCATACTCAAAAGCTATCTTCTAAAATAATCAAATCTCATTGTTAACCCTCTAGTCCTGCAATAAGCATTTATTACAGTGGGGGCAAAATAATAAAAATAAGTAGGAAAGGACAACCTATTGGCTTGTGTTTAATTTCTCTGAGTTGTCTTGGTTTAAATATAGCAAAGAGATTATATAAGGTCAGGCAGCATAAACAATGAAATGTCACCTGACATTTTGCGAAACAGCAAGAGAAGAGCAATGAATGGAGAGTAAAGCCTATGATTATGCTACCTAAGCCATTTCAAAACGGTTTAGAAATCCTATACGTAAACTCACTTTGCTGTGAACTTGACTCCGTTTTTAAATATTTTCCACTTCAGTGTTGTAAGGATAGGTAATACTGGTAACATTTTCCCGAATAATTTACTCGAGCTGCCTTCCGTTTATCACTAAAGCGTCTTTCTTATTTCCCACTTTATATTTTTATTAAGGGTTATCTTAGCCCCCTCGCAACGGGGGGCTACATATAGACGAATCCGTGCCCACAGCCCACAATTACCTCTCGGATCGCCACTCACACTAACTGCCACTCCTAAACTCCAGACCTGTCCCTTCCAAGTCCCGCCCCTTCCGCCCAGCACGTCCGCAGCTGGCGCACGCCGATGACGCAAAGCGCAGCCGCCTCCACAGCCTCCACCACGCCCCCGCCTCTGGGAGTTGAAGTTTCCAAGGGACGACTCCTGCACCGTGTCCAGGAACATTCAAGAAAGGCGTTCTCCGCGGGCCCTGCCTTCTTTAACAGCACTCCAGCTCGGTAAATGTCCTGGAATTGCCGCTGGTGCTCGGCTGTTCTTTGATAGCTTTTGTAGGCCTCGGGCGCGCCCGCCATGCTGCCTTCCCTTGGCAGCGAGGGCTTCCGGGGGAAAGGGGAGTGGGATCGTGGCAGTGCCCCTAGCTTGTCTCCTGCGGTCGGAAGTGGCGTCGGAGTGTGTGCGCCCGAGCCCTGGGGCCGCGCTCTGACTGGCTGGCTGCCGCCTAAGTCCCGCCTCCCGAGCGCATCCGCGGGCCGGCCAGGCCGCGGCCTGGGAGGGAGATGGCGATGGGGCGCAGGCCCCCCGGGGTGGGCGTTTCAGGGCGTGTGCCTCAAGCATGGGGCCCTTAGTGTGGACTGGGTTCTGTAAAGGACTACGTCTGGGCTCTGCAGGACGATGCCACGTCTCCATGCTGATTTTTTGGGGGAACGTGGCCGAGGCGCAAGGGCCCGCATGGCGGGGACCACTTTAAGGAAGTTGAAGTGTTGAGTACATTGAAATCCTCTGAACTCAAAAGCGAAGGGTTTTAGAACCGTTTTCATTTCTTATATTTTATTACAGAGCTGTAAAAATGGTAACGTTCTTTTTTCTCAAGAAAACATGCACAAAGCACTTAGCCCCTCTCATGCCACCCCTGGAGCTTTGGCTGCTGTGGGTTTCCCTGACTTCATTTTGTGAAGGATAAGTCCTTCACTGTCGCTCTCAAGTCATTAATTGGGCTCAGCAGGCATGCCTACCTCCCTTTGGAACTTTCTGGAAAGAAAAGTAAGTGAAGTAAGTCAACAAAACTGTTCATACCCTGTGATAAAACTCGTGCAGTTTTTCTAAACCGTTCCAGGGGAGTGAGGGAGGTTTTTACACATTCCTTTCACCAGTTCTTAGTCTTGTGAGCCCATCTGATACTCGGTACCTGTGAATGAACCACACATTAAAACAAAGCCCACCGTTGCTAAGTTGGAATTTCTCTTTAAAATTGCATTCTTAAGTATATGTGAAGCTCGTGTTTAGTGAGTGAAAATACATTGTGAGCCTCAGCATATGTGAGGGAAGAGGACAAACGCCGTGACATGGAGACTTCCTAAATTACAGCCCGTTAGTGAGATCATCAGAAAGAGAGTGTACTTAATAAAATGCCAGATCGCTTAACAGGTAACCCTAAGAAGTTAGTACTCAATGAAGTATCTGTTGTGTAGGCAGTGAGAGTTGAGAATATCTTTGTATGGAATATGTGCTGCAAGCAGCAGTTTATTATCAAGCTTGCATTTTCTTTTCTTTCTTTTTTTTTTTTTTTTTTTGCTGTTCGTTTCAGTGTATCTACCTTCATTTAAAGCTCAAAAGAATTCTCTTGGTGTGGTGTGTCTTGTAACTGGGAGTAGTTTTAAAATAGTCGTGGTGCTGATGTTGACTAGCTCATTGCCTTTTCCTGTGTTTGCACGCTGTTTAAAGACAGCTGTACTGTGACAGGGAGAGTTAAATTTACCGGGACTTCTTAGGAAGAGCAAACGCTCCCCCTGGTGCTCACAAGATATAGCACATCACTTAGCTTTAAAAATGTTCACATTATAGAGCGAATCCACACTTGGAGTATTTAAGTAAGGAACTAGCTGGAACTGATGCTTATGATAAATGGAATTGTGCTCTCCTGGAGTGTTTGCTGAAGAGAGTCCTTTGTTTCCTGTGAGTATTGTATTAAGTTTGAGAAGGTCACTAGACTTTCTGGATACATGCACTGATGACTTTTATTCAAATCACTGAGTACAGAAAGTAAATATAAAGCCTGGGGATCATGGTCTATATTCTTAAAATGTATTTTCTTACATTTTTTGCTGAATTAACCCTATCTCCATCTTCTTAAACACCTCCCTACCCCCAACACTTGCAGACTTGTGTAATCTGTGAGTACAAAGGTACACCTTAGTACTGGTTAGTTTCTGGCTTATGTCTCTCTCATCCTGTATTGCAGTCTTTTTCTCTCGTTAATTTATTTTAATAATCTTAGTTGATTAGGGTACAAAGGGTCAAGGGCTACAGGGTGAAAGTGGGTAATATCATTCTTCTGTATTGCAGTCTTAACTGCTTCTCCATTATTCCTCTGTGTCCTGAGTCAGGTTGTCAGGCAATCTTGTAATTCATCACGTGTCCCTTGGACTCAAAGTTGTCTAGAGTTTGTCTCATCTGTTGACATTTGAAGTCTTTATGTCTTAGTTGTCGTGGGGGATCTTTTTCATGGGTCTTGTTTTAGATTCATCTTGAAGGCGATTATTGCCTCCCCATCCCTAATCATGTCTTTCTACAGCTGGTTTGTATCCACAGGGTTCTGTGATTATTCTCAGCCAGGATCCAGTTTTATGTTTCAGTACCTTGCAGATCTCATGTGTCTAGTTCAGATTGTAGCTGGGTAGTTTTTTAAGTTCATACATCTTTTCATGGTTACCTAGGATTGTGACAGAAAGTCTGTATCTACTGCCTTCTGGCTTATCAAACTTAGTTTCTTATGACCTGTGGTCATGGAACATGCAGGCCCACCCACTGCTGGTCTCAGTATATCTATCTCTCATTCCCTGCCTTACATTATTTCCTTTTTATTAGAGTTGAAGAAATGTAAAAGCTGCCTTTGCCCGGCAGATCCAGCAGGTACACTGTCTGCCCACTTCTTGTTTCTGGTTTGAGACACTGTGCTTTTTGTTTGTTTGTTTCTCCTTTTTTAATTTCATCTATGGCTACCATGTGTTCTGAGACAGGCTGCCCCATGACACCAGCTTTGGGCAAATATCTCTAGGAAGTGTGTTGGGATTTTTAAAGTTAGTCACATAGCAATAAATTTAAAATGTAAATTTAGTGATAGGAAAAATTTAAATTTTTCTTTCTTAGGTTTTAGTCTCTACTTCTGATTGCCAGAACCTTCTGCCAGCAGGCTTGAAACAACACAGCACTTCCGCACTCTGCATAAGCCCTCCTCTGCTGCCCATTCTATCATTTTGGGTTGGGGGAGGTACTAAATTCATATCTACAGTTAATCCTAACTCTGTCACTTCATTGTTTATTCTACTACATATTTTGAGTATATTGCTTGTGCTAGATTTGTTCTGGGTTCCTTGTTTCTTAGGAGTGATTTAGTCATTTTGGATTATAGGGAAGTTATTTACCCTCACTGTGTGTGAAGATAAACCTAATTTTTTCAGGCAAGGATAATATTCATGTCATGGGTTATGTAAGGATAAAATTAGAGTAGGTATGACAGTAAAGGTTTGATATTTCTACTTTTATTGCTTTTGAAAATACATTATTCATTTTAGATTTAGAATTATAGAGCAGAAAAAGAAAGAGAGAAAGATCTTCTATTTACTGGTTCATTCCCCAAATGGCCACAACGCCCAGGGCTTGACCTCGTTAAAGCTGGGAGCCAGGAGCTTCATCTGTATATCCAATGTTGTTGCAGGGGCCTAGGCATTTCTGTTGCATTCCCAGATACATTACCAGGAAGCTGGATTAGAAGTGGAACTGTGGCCCGTGTGGGATGCTGGCACTGAGGGTGGTGACTTACTGTGCTGTGCCACAGCACCAGCCCTGAAAAAATTCCTTGTACCTAATAAGGTGACTTATTTGCTCTATCAGTATGTAATAAGCAAGCATGGATCGCCAGCCACAGTGGTCCCGGCAGTGTCATGCTCAGCAGAAGTAGACATCCTGTCTGCCCCATGGGGTTTCAGCATAAACTCAGGCTGACATGTTGTTTCTAGGCAGCGTTCCTCTCAGAATGGGAACACTTGTGAACTCTTACCCAGCTTACTAAATGACCATTTCCTCTTCCTGGAAATTTTGTGAACTTTAAGATGCCATTGCTTTTTGCTGCTGCCTCTAAAGCACTTTGTAAGATTTCTTTTCTCTCAAATTTGGTGAACTTTCTAAGTTTGCTTAGTTATCCTTATGTGTCCTGTTGGAAAAGAAAGCAAGAATCCTACAGTAAGACTATGGCTTAGATTATTATAGTCAGTGAAGGTTTGTTTCCTACTATTTAAAGTGTGGGGTTTTCTTGTAGAGCATAGCTTCTAACACCTGGAAGGATGGGAGCTTGGTACGGAGGAGAATGAGGTTTTGTTTCAGACACTAGACTCAGGAAATCAAAATGGACATGTGAGACGGGATTTGCATTATTAATAGGGACTAGAGAAATCTCTTCAGAGGTGATTATTTAGAGGTAATAACCCAAAATTTCAGGTAGTAAGGGAAAACAATGACTTGTCACCGGCTTCCCCCAGTTTGCAGTGTGTTAGCATGTCCAAGGGGGCTAGGCGGAGAGTGCACCTGAGAGGAGTACAGTCTCAGCAGAGTGGCAGGGAAACAGAAGCTGGCAGATGACTCAGGAAAATTAAGAAACTTAAAATCAGGCCATGGTTTTTGAATATCCCATAGAATTTGCAAATAGAGGTCACTGTGCACTGATCATAAGTTTGAAAAAATATCTTTTCATGATGTACTTAAATGTAATTTGTGATAGACAAGATTCTGCCTGTAACATAAAATGGCAGATTTTTTTTTTCACCCATTGTGAATTCTTTTTTTTTTTTTTTTAAAGATTTATTATTTTTTTATTGGAAAGGCGGATATACAGAGAGGAGAGACAGAGAGGAAGATCTTCCGTCCCATGATTCACTCCCCAAGTGAGCGCAACGGTTGATGCTATGCCGATCCGAAGCCAGGAGACTCTTCTGGGTCTCCCATGCGGGTGCAGGGTCCCAAAGCTTTGGGCCGTCCTCGACTGCTTTCCCGGGCCACAGGCAGGGAGCTGGAAGGGAAGAGGGGCTGCCGGAACAGAACCGGCGCCCATATGGGCTCCTGGGCGTGCAAGGCGAGGACCTTAACCACTTGCGCCACCACGCCGGGCCCGTGAATTCTTTTTATAGTAGTAGGTGAACCTTTTGGCTTTTCTGAAGATCCACTTTAACCTTTCATTACAGAATGTTGCATTTCACTCTTTTCTAATTGGAGGGGTTTTTTTTATGTAAAGTATGCTTACACTTACTCTCAAAATTCCTATTTCAGAAAATCTGAATATTTAAAAAAATTTCCCCCATAGCTCATTTGGAAATAAAACATTACCTAAGTTACTTGAAACCATGTGGTCTTTAGTAATCTCTGTTAGTTATTACTTTTTTGTGTCTCATTAATTAGTTGTTTGTCAGAAGTTGCTCTTGAATTTTTCAGAGGCACCAAAATGTCATGTGAAATGTCACCAGCATTTATTGAGACTTCTAGTGTGGAAAGAAAGGAAGACTTAAGTGAAGGTCAAGAGGAGAGCCAGAAGCCAAGATCAGGTGAAGGAGCTGAATCAATGTCGAAACGACAAATGAAGAAGCTAATAAAACAGAAGCAGTGGGAGGAACAGAGAGAGCTCCGCAAGTATGTGTGCCAAAGTATTTCTGCTCTGCCTGTTGAGAAGTATGGAATGTCTGATTTGGTGTGGTATTCTGAAAAATTGAGTAGCTGTATTAATAACATTGGGGTCAGGTATATCATGAGCTAACTTGTTAGCCCTGTGTAGGCTTTGAATTGTTTTTAGCAGTGTGAACAAACTGACACGCAACACGTTTTCTCACTCAAAATTTGTGAATAGCAGCATAGTTTTTAAACAACAACCTCAGGATATTAATCTATTTTTTTTTCTTGTCAGTGTAACAGAATGCGTAAGCCAATTTTATGAAGGGAATAGGTTAATTTAGCTCATAGTTATGGAGGCTGAAGATCCAGACAGCGTGATGTATTTTGCTTGGTTATTCCTTGGCTGCATCAGGCCCTGGCAGATGGCCATGATGGGAAAGCATGTGGAAGGAGAGACCATATCACAAAGTAGGAAACTTGAGCCAGATGAGGTTCCCATAATCTCTTCTAAGGACATGCTGCCGGAGAGCACCCACAGAACCTTGCTTGTAAAGTCCATCACACCCCAGAACCCCCATCCAGGGAATCAAGCTGCCAACACAACATGCAAACCTCTGGGTTCAAACTGTGGCCAAACCATAGCAGGGATTTAGTTAGTGTTTGTGTCCTAGATACTGATTCAAAATAACTGACTCAGAAACACCAAGTTTTGGCCTAATATTTATTTTGCTAGAAAAAATGCAGGAAAAGTAGTTAGATGATAATTGTCATTGTATAATAAACTATAGTTGCTATGGATTAGAGAAAACGTGTGTGTTTTGTTTTTTTTGAACTTTTCACTATAAAAATTTTGTATGAAAATGGTGTAGTGTGTTAACAATGAGATTTTCTTAGGGCTGGTGAAAGCTCTAGATAGAAAGCTTTACATTGTTTCTGTAAACTTTGTTATTCCTATCTACAACTTTCATGGACTAGATGGTCTATATAAAATTGCTAACATTTGACCATTTTTGACTCATAGAATTGACAGTATCGTGTGATTGAACTTGATTTTACAAAAGTAATTATTCCTTTGTCTTTTTGGAAGTATCTTGTGAATATTTGAAATAAGTGATGTTAATTTCCAATTTCAGACAAAAGCGGAAAGAAAAACGCAAGAGAAAAAAATTGGAGCGACAGTGTCAACTGGACTCAAACTCTGATGGAAGTGACAGAAAACGTGTGCGAAGACCTGCTGTTAACAGCACACTCCGCCTTGTAATTGACTGTAGCTTTGATGACTTGATGGTATTAAAGGTATAGTGAATCACTCAGAAACCTCCTGTAGGGGAGCTAGGTTGAATAATTCTTGTTATAATTTATTGTAACACTTCCATAGAACATTACGTATTAAAGTGCATCTTAAAGCACGTTTTTGTCAAGGCATGAAAATAGTAATCCTATGACTCTGCAAGAGTTTTGTTGTTTCTTACGAGGTATTTGTATGATCTAGCATTTTACATGGATAAAAAAATCTGATATTTCATTTGCAGAATTTTAACAGAGTAATTTTATTAGGATGTAAGGAAAGCAAATGAAAGTTACTCAGATGAATTTGCACTGATCTCCCTCTGCTTATGCTGTTCCTAAAGATCATGGAATGGCCATAGATTATTTCATTAACTCTGCTTTAAACTTGCACTCTGTTATAGGACATTAAAAAGCTTCATAAGCAGATTCAGCGATGTTACGCAGAAAACCGGCGTGCCCCACACCCTGTGCAGGTATGACTGAGAATTTAAGACAGACTCTAATTCCCTATTTTATATTTTAATTCCAGCTATCTTTGGAAGAGTGTCACGGATACACTTGTTTGCTGACTATTTGAAAAAATGTTTTCATTAAGAAAAGAAATGGGATGAGGGATGTATGAGAACTCTTTGTATTACTACCTTACAGATTCTATTTTGTGAATTTGAAACTGTGAAATAAACTGTAATAATGTTGTTATATTAAAAAAAAAAAAAAAGATGGGGCCCGGCAGTGTGGCCTAACGGCTAAAGTCCTCACCTTGAACGCCCCGGGATCCCATATAGGCGCCAGTTCCTATCCCGGCAGCTCCACTTCCCATCCAGCTCCCTGCTTAGGGAAAGCAGTCGAGGACAGCCCAAAGCTTTGGGACCCTGCACCCGCGTGGGAGACCCAGAAGAAGTTCCCGGATCCTGGCTTAGGATGGCATAGCATCGGCCATCGCGTTCACTTGGGGAGTGAATCATCGGATGGAAGATCTTCCTCTCTGTCTCTCCTCCTCTCTGTATATTTGACTTTCCAATAAATAAATAAATCTTCAAAAAAAAAGATGAAATGGCACCTGTTTTCACATGTCAGAGACCCTTCACAGCCTTGTTCACACAGCCAATTTACCTCTGTGGCTCTTCATTAGAGTAGGTGCACGTGTAAAGGAACTTAGTTTTGAGTAACTGATAATTTTAAAAGATATTTCTTAAGCTGGGAGAGGGAATGATTTGTGAAAATTAATAAATTGAGTGCTATTATTTTTCGTGTGTGTGTAAATTCCAGGTGACCTAAAAATTAATGCTGAAACTAAGAACAAGGAGCTGCTTTTTTGTTTGTTTTTAAGATTTATTTATTTGAAAGAGTTATAGAGAGAGGAGGAGGGACAAAGAGAAATCTCCCATCTTCTGGGTCATTCCCGAGTTTGCCACAGCAACCAGGGGTAGACCAGGCCAAAGCCATGATTCAGGGCCTCTTCCAGATCTCCAATGTGGGTGGCAAGGGCCCAAACCCTTGGGCATTTTCTACTGCTTTCCCCAGGTCATTAATTGGGAGCTGAATAGGAAATATAGTAGCAGGCACAAGAACCTCTTCTCCAGTGTACCCTGGGGTTGTAAGCCACAGTTTTACCTGGGATCAGAGTTTAGAGTCAAAGAAAACTAGGAAGGTTTTAGATTGATAAGAAAATAGCAGAGGTGGCAGAACAAAAAAAAAAAAAGAATAGTTATTGAAGCATAACATGATATCCAGTAACATAAAAATGTGCAGTTTTTATATGTCAATTAAGAAAAAGAAAAAAAGATATACCAGAAACTTAACATGGAAGCATAAAGTTTACAGAGATGTGAACGTTACTGGAGAGGCAGATTATGATTATTTGAGACAAGTTGGATGAAAATGTAATTGAAATGTTGAAGTTAGTAGATTATGAGGTTCATGACTCCAAACAGATCTAACCTACCCCAGATTTAGTGCTCAGCAGCATCCCATGAATTATTTTTGTAGATAAAATAGAATTAAAATGTTGTATATTTTATTGCTGATCAGATGAGTGTGAGAGAAAGTACTGAATTTAAATGGTCACTTGCTGTTTTTGTATACCTACCAGTTTTACTTAACAAGCCATGGAGGCCAGCTGAAAAAGAATATGGATGAAAATGACAAAGGATGGGTCAACTGGAAGGTAATTAAGACAGCTTCTCAATTTCTAAGTGGTTTTTGCTTCTTAAAGTACACTTTTAATCTAAATTCTTGAAATATAGCAGTCTTTGAACTCTTAATAGAGAAAAGTGTTTGTGCTTGCTTCCATTAAATCTTAACATTCTTATCACCATTTTATACCTTGTTTTTCAAGATTTATTTGAAAGTTAAGTGTTACAGGGAGGAAGAGGTAGAGATCTTCTATCTGCTGGTTTGCTGTCCAAATGGCCACAATAGCCAGAGTTGGGCTGGTTGGAATCCACGAGCCAGGAGCTTCATCTGGGTCTCCCCTTTATCAGGGGCCTAAGTGTGTGGGCCATCTTCCACTGCTTTCCCAGGTGCATTAGCAGGGAGCTGTATGAGAAGTGGGGCATCTGTGACTCAAACTGGTACCAATGTGGGATGACAGTGCTGCAAGCAGCAGATTGAAGCCACAGTGCCAGCTCCTGTAACATGTTTTTTTCTAATACAAAAAGAATTTTAAAGTTGCTTGTATAGTTTCTTCCTAGTGAACTAACTACATATATTAAGTACATACCTTTACACTAAAATTCAGAAGTGTGCCTGTATTCTTCTAAATCTGCACTGTTTAAAATTAGACTTCTATAGTATAGTCTGAATGGTGAATTTAGAGGTGCTGTAAATGTGAAATACATAATAAATTTCACAAACTTAGTATCCAAACAAGAGAGAGAGAGTGGGGGAGGGAATAAGAGAGAGGATATAACATTCTTTCCCTGGGATTAGTGTTTTGGTACATGAGGTTAAGTAGGTGTGTCTTGCAGCATGCTGGTATGCTGTTTTAGAACACAAACGCAAGTTCTAGCTACTGTGGTATTGATCTGGCTTCCTATTAATATCTGTCTGCCTGTCTCTCTCTGATGCTCTGCCTTCCAAATAAATAATCCTTTTCTGTAAACCTCCCTGGATAATTTTAAAAATATTTGAAATGATACCATATGTGGCATACTGTGTTAATATATTATTAAAATTAATTTCATGTTATAAAATCTGGTTGGTAAGTAGTTCAAAATTATATATGTGGTTGATAGTTTTTTTTTCCTATTGAACCAAATTGTTCTCAGTCATTGGTAAAGATGACTAAATAGATTGGCTTTAATACAATCCTGGAGGAATTCTGTCTTACTCAGAGAAGTTTGCGATTATTTTTACACTTTTTTTTTCTTTTCTCAGAGTCAGTTCTCAAAGTGACAAACTCCCTCTCACAGGCACTAGTTTTATACTTTTTGCAAATGAAACATTTTGAAGGGATTTTTGCATTTGTAAATGCTAATATAGCATGTCTGCTTTACTGAGAAGTAAGTGTGACGGAATAGGCATACTATTGTTGTGACTTAGATTTATTAATTGTTCCATCAGCTTTCTAGGGAGAGTGAGATTCACTGGTTTCATAATTGTTTCACATCCCTCTTGGGGTCTTCATTAAGTATATAAGTACTATATGGTTATTTATTAATAAGTAATTGATTTTTAGTGAGTCTGTTTTATTCTTCATTTCCTTAAAAATTATTGGATAAATGTCATTTGAGCCTGGTGATCTATATCCTTTTATATAATTAGTATGTTTGCAAAATCCTGACTGCAAACTAGTTTTCATAAATGTAGCATTACAGAAGGAAAAGCATGGGAATAATAAAATCTGTCAGCATTTCCCTTTTGATGATTCATATTTATAGAGAGAAAGTAATTGGAGAAGTTTGGCTAGAGAACAATGGGAACAAAGATATGCTGGTTTTGTTTGAAAAGAGATAAGATTAGAAAGGTAGTCTCCTTGTCAAGGAAGAGTTATGAAGTTAAGAAGTGTGAATTTTATCCTCCAGAAAAACAAACAACCAAGGAAACCTTGAAATTTGTGTTTTAGAAAGTGAGTCCACTGTCAGGGTTTGAGAGTAGAGGTTGGAAGGGTCTGAGGCCAGAGACAGGAAAAGAAATTAGGAAGTTGTATAAATAATTGAGCTATGAACTGATAACAGATTGAAGCCTTGGATTCTGAATAACATGAATACATTTTCACAATTTTTCAAGCCTTATTTCAGATTTTTGGATGGATTTGTTAATTACTGACATTCTGTATCTTAAAGGATATCCAAATCAAACCAGAACACTATACTGAGCTCATAAAGAAAGAAGACTTGATTTATCTGACATCAGATTCACCTAACATACTGAAGGAATTAGATGAATCAAAGGCTTACGTGATTGGAGGACTAGTAGATCACAACCATCACAAGGTACTGTTTTTTCACTTTTGCAGTTGTTTGAATTTATTGATATTCCAGCTCTCTGATAGTAGCAATACTAATGATAGCTCATCCTTCTTGAGTGCCTACTATGTTTCAGTCACCTGTTGACAGAAGATGAAATTTACAAACTTTTAAAATATACAATTCCCATAGGATGCTGTTTTGTTTGTACTTTTTTCTTCTTCCAATCTCATATCCTCACTTGGATGAAAATTAGAGAAGTGCACGTTCTAAAAGGCAATATAATCTTGTATTTTTTAGAACAGTTGCAGTCGGTTGAAATTTAAGCAGTTGCACATAGCCACTGGTTGAATAGTGTAGTGATCTCTTAGCCTTCTCTATTCTTGAGAAAAATTCTGTTTTTGATGAGAAAAGAAAAAACCAAAATGTTCTTCTTATGTGTATGTTTCCATAAACTAAAAAAATATATATTGTTTTGAAAACATCTGAAATCTTAAAATCTGTAATTATTATTTGAATGTATAAGCTACTGGCTTGGAAATTGAGATTTTTCTCTCTTGTAAACTCTCTTGTGTCCATTTTGGTCCTGGATAGGCATAGGCATCAAGGTTTGTGATTGTAAAAAGAGCTGAAATTCCTATTCAAAATTTCTTTGTCAGAAGTGGAAAAATAACAGTAATGGATAGTTTAAAAAAATTTTTTTTAATTTTATTTGTTTGCTATTTGTGACTCTTAGTTTTATGTATTTGAAATGGTTTTATGTTTGTTATAGTGATTCTTTAGAAATTTGCTTTGACTGTTTTAAGTCAAAGTAAAATGGTGAGGTAAAAGGATAAAAAGATTGGAGTCAGGAAGCAGGTGAGACAGTTTTTTTGGTGGTTTTGCCACTAAAGGATCTTTGAAACAGGGCAAGAAATAAAATTTGTTTGGTTTCCTCATTTGTAAATTGAGGAGGTTAAAACAAGCATTGGAAGCGCTCTGACTAAACCTATTGTCAGGAGAACGTTTCCAAAAGAGCAGTTAAATGGTGTCCCCCTCTGTTTCTCTCCCCCTCTCTCTCCTTTTCTCAGTCATAAGCTTTGAACTACAATTCTTTTCTAAGAATTAATTAAACTGTCAGAGACTTTAAAAAGTAATTTGATTTTCCATGTGTTGTAGGGAATCACATATAAACAAGCATCAGATTATGGAATCGATCATGCACAGCTCCCCCTTGGACATTTTGTGAAGATGAATAGTCGGAAAGTTTTGGCAGTTAATCATGGTAAGCTGTAAGGTCGTAAACTAAAAATGGCCCCAAGTGTGCACTATGAAAAAGAATATTTCATTTCAGATTTGGAGAAATAGGAAATAATATACCTTGCCAGGGACACAACTATAAAAAAGAATAATTTATAATATTTATATGATAGTAATGATTAATGCATATTTTAGAACATTTTTTGCAAATGTACAAAATGCTTAACAATTTTAACTTCTATCTCATTGGTCAGAGATACTTTTTATTAGCTTTTTGTTATGTTTCCATCCTGTTCTTTTTTCCTATACATGCAAGGCTATTTACAAAGTTTGCTAAGAAAATGCAATTAAGAGCTTATTTGGGGGAAGAATATTATTAGGGCAAACTTGCATTCTTAACGCAAAGGTAATCTAAAAGGCAGTCTGAAACAGCAATGAACTTGGCTAAGAAATGAATGGAGTTTGTTTTTGTTACAGTGTTTGAGATTATTCTGGAATACCTGGAATCAAGAGATTGGCAAGAAGCATTTTTTACTATCTTACCCCAAAGGAAAGGCGCTGTTCCTACAGATAGAACCTGTGAAAGTTCTTCCCATGGCGAGCAGTCTGCCCAGGCTGAAGGTGGATGGGACAGTGATTCCAGTGAAGGAGAGGATGGCAGAAATGAACTAGATTTACCCAATACAGAAGAAAAACAGGATAAGGAAACCAGCTCTGAGTCTCCAATGAGTGCTGCACCACACTGATGCTACCTGATCTTTTAGCTTAAGGGAAAAGTTAAGAAAAAGTGAAACACTTCATAGGATGTTTAAATTGAAAGAAAATTTTATTTTCTCATTTCTGTTGCAAACTTAAAAATTTTGTAAGTTAAATGATAGTATAAAGTTCCTTAAGCTCTATAAGAATTTTGTTTTTTGCAGCTCTTGCAAAACAAGACTTAGATATGAGTTTTTTGTTTGTTTGTTTGTTTGTTTGTTTGTTTTTAAGATTCAGGAGTTTCTGGAGAATGTTAGGTAATCAGCATGCCTGCATTCTCTTGGATTTGCTGGGACTGCAGTCTTTAGCATGGTCTAAAGTTCTTTACTTCCTGTAAGTTTCTTAGTTTGTGTTCTTAACATTGTTTTCCTAAGCTTTTACTCCTTGCGTGTGGGGGCAGGAATTCATAGATGTCCTGTGAGTCTACCAGGGTGCTCTGTATGGGAGGTTGCCCTTTGTGTGCAGGTTTTTATGTTTAGTTTTGAAAAAATATTTTAAGAAGCATCAGCTTGGTAGACAGAGGAATTTATTTCTTTTGGGTTACAGAAACCATGTATGTTTCTCCTTTGTGATGCCCTCTCATAGTTCTGAAGTAATAGGATCTCTTTAATACCTCTTTTGAATTCCTATTATGCTGATAAATTATTTTGAATACAAAATTTAGTTTTTGAAGGCTAGATTATTTTATAAAGCTGCTACTTTTGAGGGAACAATTTTGTCTTTACCTGAATTTAAAATGAAATAGCTCTTAACAGCTACTTTTTCTTTCTATGTATATATTTTTTTTTACCACAGAGTATTTATTGGCTCTTAAAGTGAATAAAGTTTAAATGTGGTTCAGCTTCTTATATAATAATAATAATATTTAAGGAGCATGTGTGTTTCTTAAATAATGACACATGAATGGAGATATGCATATCATCATATTTGCGTCTGTTTGTCCACAGCATGAATGATTCTTAATTAGTGATTGATAATAGGAATAATCTGTATGATTTATGTAAGTGGTTGTGTTGAAAAGCACTGAGAGCATTTTGAATTTCATGAACTCCAAAAATTCATAGTTAAACATGTATGTGGAAAGATTATGTGGGAAGATGCAGTGAAAGGTGCTGTTTTGGAGGTGGTATGGTGAATTAGGAGGCAAGCTGCTTCTTGTGACACTGTTAGTTTATGTCCTAACCCATGTCTGATCTAGCTCCCTGCTAATGGCCTGGGAAAAACAATATGTATTTGAGTGGGAGATTGCCACTGGATCTCTGCCTGCTTTGCCTATGTAGCAGGTCATAGGTACAAGGCACACTATGTCCCTGGGGCAACCCCTGACAGTGGTTTCAGTTAACTGAGTCCTCAGCCTGACCTAATTGTTGGGCATGCAGTGAGCGCAGTGGGCTGCACATCTCTCTTCTCTGTCCTTGGCTGGATGGTACTGGGACTTCCCTGATGATCAACTCTCAGAAGTCTGGTGCAACCCACAGCCTACTTGCCAGCCTCTGATGGTGGCTGTGACCTGAGACATAGCTCCTAGTCTGTGTGCTGTGACTCAAGGCCTCCCTGCCTGTGACCTGAAGGCACAGCTTCCCTCTAGGCATGAGCAACATGACTTGTGACTTGGTTGAAGTGTCCAGAGAGATAGACATGGCTTCTAGCCAGTTACAGTGTCCTTGGTGGGTAGGAGGATTGTTTGGGAATGCCCTTCTGCCTTCCCTTTTCCCAGTCTGTGTAAGTTGTGCTAACTTTATAATAAACAGACGTACTCCATCAGACTGTCTCCGGTGGTTCTTGTGATGGAAGAACACTATCATCTCACCCCCTTGGGGGTCTCCAAGGCCTGCTGGCAGGATAATCCCCTGAGAAATTTGGGTTCCTGCCACCCACTTGGAAGACCCAGACGAAGCTCCTGACTCCTGACTTTAGCCTGGCCCAGAACTGGCCTTTGCAGTGTCTCTCCCCCATATCTCTGTAACTCTGGATTTCAAAAAAGAAATAATACTTTTTTAAGGCTGGGGTTTCTGTTTCAGTTTCTAAACATAAGTTAGAGAAGTGACCTGTTGGATGAAGTGCTTGTTCTCTGTCACAACAGCAGTAGTAGTTTGGATAATGGAAGTCTCTATTCTTAATGTACAAAAATTGTCAGTTTAGAAAGTGTATAACTCACAGTATGTAAGTTATATTTCTACACTGAGTAGAAAGAATATTGATTTCAGTATTGCTGTTCATTGTCTTATTTTTTGTTGTATTATTCTTAGTAATCTATTATCCATTTTAATGAGAGATATGTAAATTAACAATTCTGAAGCAACAGAGTTTATGTCTCATATGTATATGTCAGAGATTCAGAGTAAAGGTGATTTACTGGCAGGGAATATTATGCCTTTTATTTTTTATGGAAAGGGCCGATGCTTAATCAGGAAGATGAAGAAAAATTATTACAAACATTGAATATTTTAATATTTACTAATTATAAATGGCCCTGGATTAGTTCCTATTGATTCTGTAACAAATCACTACAGACTTGGTGACCTAAAGCAACAAAAATTCATTTAGTTCCAGAGGCTTAAAAACCAAAAATGAGGGCCCAGTGCAGTGACATAACAAGCTAAGCTTCTGCCTGTGGTGCTAGCATCCTATACAAGTGTTGGTTGGCGCCCCAGCTGCTCCGCTTTTGATCCAATGGACATTGGAATGTGGTAGAATACAGCCAAGTAGTTGGGCCCCTGTACCCATTTGTGAGGTCCAGAAGAAGCTGCTGGCTGCTGGCTTGGGACCTGCCCACATCTAGCTATTGCAACCATTTGCAGAATGAACCAGTGTGTACAAAGATTTTCTTTCTCACTTTTGTCTCTCTCTCTCCATCCCTCTCTCTCTCCCTAATTACCTTTACCTCTTCCTGGCTCTCCCTCTCTCTCACTTTAAATCTTCTTAACTGAAGTCTTAAAAGTAAAAGCAGGAACTCATTAAGGAAGCATCCCTGCTAGCCTGTTCCCAGCTGTTAGTCGTTGGCACGCCCTGGTGTTGCATTGCTCACAGTTGCATGTTGTCGTTGTCTTCGTCACCAGTGTTCATCTCTTCTGTGTCTTCAGTATCTGTGTCTTCAGACTCTCCTTTTCTTGAAATGAACATTGGAGGACAGTTCCTCCGTCATCCATCATGACCTCATGTTATCTACAAAGCCCTATTTCTAAGTAAGACATGATGCTTCCTACTCCAAGTCCAGATCTAGGCTGTTGGTGGCAAGAAGAAGACGACAGCCTCTGTTGAAATAGCTAATTTCTAAAATATTTAAACTGTTGGTTTTAAAAAAATTACTAGTTTTTCTCTCACTTTGGTATGTCTTTTTCTGTCAACATTATTTAGGTATGAGTTAAAATTATAGGAAGTGCTAGTCACTTGTTCTGGTAAAAACATTACTCAAGTAAATGCATCAAAAGGACATATGTCTACTGAAATAATGGAATTTCTTCTCATTTAATTTTTTTAATAAACTTCTTCATAAAACTTATTTTTAAAAGAAAGGAGTATTCTTCAGTCTGTTTATATCTGTAGAATTTGAAAAATACTCAGAACAGCAACAGAAAAAGAAGAAAGAAAGCAATTCTTAAGAAGAAATGTCTTGGACCTGGTGCAGTAGCGTAGTAGTTAAGGTCTTTGCCTTGCATGCCTAGGATCCCATTTTGGCATCAGTTCATATCCTGGCAGCCCCGCTTCCCATCCAGCTCCCTGCTTGTGGCCTGGGAAAGCAGTTGAGGACGGCCCAAAGCTTTGGGACCCTGCACCTGCTTGGGAAACCCGGAAGAAGCTCCTGATTCCTGACTTCGGATTGGCTCAGCACTGACCATTGTGGCCACTTGGGGAGTGAGTCATCGGACAGATCTTCCTCTGAGTCTCTCTTCCTCTCTGTATATCTGACTTTCCAATTAAATAAATAAATAAACAAACAGGTATTTTTTTAAAATAAGATTATTAGTGAAAGAAAGTGACTGAGATCTTCCATCCACTGGTTCAGTCCCCAGATGTGTGTACAGGTGGACATAGATATGTTCCCCCACACAAATGTACATGTGCCTGAGAAATTTATCATGCTGGTTGAGCTTCCCTGCTCCAAAAATCTGAGGGTAATAAAGCAGCCCACATACAGACCAGACATGGTATATAACGTGGGCTGGTACTTTGGACTGAACCCACAGGGGCCCTCCAGCTACCCTGTTCTGATCCAGCTATCTCAGCCCCTTTGATCACCTGTGAGTGCAGTGACTCAGTCCATGGAAGCCCCCAAGAGTATACATGTCAAACAATCCCTTAGTGGCCCCATCCCCTATTGCGGGACCCCTTGCAGTGGTGGTGAGGTGACCCTGAATGACATGTGCCAGCAGTGGCAGAGCAGGTAATGCATCTCTCTGTCCCCCCAGGTCATTAAAATTAAAGAATAGGCAGCGATGCTGGCAACACTGGTATAGTTAACAGAGGGTTGGCATTAACCAGGTCCAGAATGCCAGCCAGGTTTTCTCCTAACTGTAACATTTGCTAGGTACCAGTCAGCCAAGGCAGTTGCCTACAGCTAGGGAAAGAACATTGTTAACCAGGAAAATTACTCTGGAAGAAGCATTTTAAAAAGCCATGTGTGGTCCTGGATGCTCCACTTCTGAACCAGCTCCCTCCTGATGCGCCTGGGGAAATAGTAGAAGATGGCTGAAATGCTTGGACCCTTGCCACTCATGTGGGAGACCCAGATGGGTCTCTAGGTTCCAGGCTTCACTCTGGCCCAGCATATAAGGTCACACAACTTCAGATTGTCCACATGGGTGACTGAGTCAGTGGCACTTTTGCTTTGTGGTTATTCAGAATTTGTTCTATTAACAATTTTGTCCAAAATGTATCACATAATTTTCAAGGTATATGTTTAAGGTATATATGAAATATAATTGAAGTTTCTGTTTAGATTTGGGCCCCATCCCCAAGATGCCTTATTTTATGTATGCAAATATTCAGAATGTCAGAAAAATTAAAATCAAAGACTTTTAGTCTTAAACATTTCAGATAAATATTCACCTGTTTCTCTTCTAAGTATTCATACAAACTTTGTAAGTCAGTGGTTGGTTAATTTGTAGACACATTCATGCCACATTCTAAAAGAATAAAAGCATTGGCCCAAGAATATTTTAGAAGTTATAGCTTCAGTTCATAAAGCTAAGGAACAGCATGGTTTTTCTGATTTTTTTTGTTTGCTTAATATTCTTATGTTCTTTGTGATGATAGTTCTTTTCTACTTGCTGTTTGTTAACAATACTTGTCAACAATACTTAATGGAATATTAAACATGTACTGTTTATATATGTGTATATGTACATATATATAATAAAATAAAAATTGGTTATGTATGCTTTTTCTAGTATAAGAACCCCACACTATGTACTAATAATAGTGTAAGGCCAGAAGTATAGAAAAAAAACATTTCTTTCACATGTGGTATTAAAATTAATACGGAAAAATTATCTCCATTAAAATTTATTTATTATATACAGGTGTTTTGGGATTTACCTCCATAAAGAGAACCACTTCATTTTTTAAAAAATGATTTTGTAACAGTGTTAAGTTCTTTAAGAAAGGATTTTCATGTGTAGAAGTTACACTGTTGTATATTCAAGGGTAAAAGGCTCTTTGGGGATAGAAATTGTGTCCTTGTTGTATACTCCTTGCTGATCCTGATTTTGCTGATCCACTGTCCTGAGTGTTGGGCCTGGGAGGAGACTTGGGCTTGCTGAAATATTCAGTAACCGGTATTTTCATCTTGCTTCTTGTTAGGAATATCTGTGACTTTTGCTCAGACCCTGAGTTTGGAAAAAATGTAAGTAAAATAGTAATTGAAACATTGAATATAACCTCTGTCATATATTATAGTAAATGAAACACTATGTACATTGTATGAGATATTACATATGTATGTGTATATGCATATGTAGATAACACCCCAAATTCATAAAAGAATCTATTGTCACCTTCCTTTCTTTAATGAGAGATTGATTCCATAACATGCAAAGCACATTCTTTTAGAAGCAAGTATGATTTTGGTAGTGATGATTTAGAGAGGGTGATAAGAAAGGGTGGTAGGCAAGGATGAGGCCAGTGAGAGCAAAGAGATCTATGTTCATCACAAATAAAACGATAAGCATGTTAAAGCAAGTTAGTGTACTTACATGACTTTTGCAACATCTACATGACCATACTCAGTAGGAGTAGGGATTTAGAGAGATGCTGAATATTTATATACAAAGAGGGGTGTAATATAGAAGATTTGTACATAGACACACACACACATACAAGTCCACATATCAGAGTAAAATACAAGAGGAACCTACAGGTCGACATAAAGTTAAATAATAGAGACCATTTACTGTCTTGAGTGTTTTAGTTTTACAGTGAGGAAATAGATAAGAGAAGCCAGACACAATAAATGGTGTTTAGAATTAGAGCCAATGAGTACTTCCTAATTTCCAAACTTCACTTATTGACTGTTAGCATAAAGAACATTCTTTGGGTTTGGCCAACTGCAATGAAACCTGCTGGGATATAGAGTAACTGCAAGGAACTCTAGGTGATAGCTGTAAAATGCCTGCTATAAGAAGGCCTTGTTGGGAATATAGAAACTGATTTTTGAGGCTTATACTTCATAGCTGTTGCTCTATAGTTATGGCTATGCTTGCTATTTAGTATTATGCTTGTTGAAGTAGATATTTATTTAACCTAGTGGTTGAGATTCTGTGTCCCATATTGGAGAACCATGGGTTTGATTTCAGTTTTAGCTCCTGATTTTAGCTCCCTGTAAATGCTGGCTCTGGGTGGCAGTGATGATTGCTCAACTAGCTGGGTTCCTGCTATCCACAAGTTGACCTGAATTGATTTCTCAGTTCTGGGCTTTGGCTCAGCTCAACCATAGCAGGCATTTGGGGAGTGGACCAATGGATGGGAGATTCTGTCTCCCTCTTTTGAAGAAGCTGCTTAGTGATGAGGTACTTTGCCTTTCAAAACAATGCAGAGTTATCTCAAATTTGTCTCTGTAATAAATTCAATAGATACTGCCCCTTAAGAATTGATCTGGAAAACATTATAATTATATTTTACTGGTTCTTTTCTTTAAAACGACAGATCCTTAACATTTAGACTTATAATTAGTACCTACTGATTTCCTTATATCAACTCAGTAATTATCACAAACTATACTTAACCTTTTGATATTTCCTTATTTCCTTCAGATCCTTGACTTGACACTCTAAATTGGAGGAAGAAAAATGAATTTCAGAGTGATTTTGTAGATTATACAGAAATTGAGATTATATCAGAAATCTCAGTATAATGTGTATCTTAAATGTGCTACCCCGCTTCTTTGTTTATTAGTGCAAGTAGTATTCAATTCTTTTCCCAATACAACATCTTTTTACTTTGATTATCATTACTATATCATGTATTAGTTACTAAGGTAGAATAACCCTTACTATTCCCCCAGTTTCTGCTCTTATGGAAACTGATATAGAGAGAAACTGTACTTCAAAATTCTTCTGTCTTAATGCTTCTTAAAGTGACATTATATTTTGTGAATATTTTCTCTCTGTGTTACTTAATTTTCAGTTTCAAAACTCAAGTTTCTCTCTCCATGTAATAATACTTTGTCACACATTCTTTCACCATAATGTTATATGTACATAATGAATATATTATTCATTTTCTGTTATTGAAATTACAAAGTTTAAGACAAATGTCCCTGAAATAGTTTCCAGTTCTCTTAGTAGTTATTTCTCTAGGAGCCACTAGGAATATGCAAAAGAAAAATGAAGCAATGATCTGCATCTTGCATTACTTTGTATAGAAAATAATAGCAGTATAGTATGAACAAATTTAAAAATAATTATAAAGTACATTTTACAGTTCCTTTTTTTTGCTTCTGTTGTTAGTTATATGGTGTTAGTTTAAAAAGAGGAAGAAGAAAGGGAAAAGCATATATTTTGTTAGCTTTCCAGGTGGCTACCTAGGAATGCAGTGTCCATAGTAGAATGAGAATCTCCCTGAAAGCAATTGGCAGTCATAGCCTCTACAAAAATGCTCTAAACAGTGAGATTGAAAATAGTCATTACAGTACCTTTCTGACAATAAAACAAAACAAATACCCAATGCAGCTTTTTACTGAATAAAAAGGAGACTTAATAATTTGGCATGCTTTGCATTCCGAGAGAGAAACACAAGAGATTCAAAGTTTGTTATATACCCAATCCTCGTGGATGGCCTTGCATCTAATTTACCTGGCTGGCTGATGTCCTTCTCTAGGTTTGGTCAGCACTTTTGGTTTTGCAGGTGAATTTGGGGGTGATTTGACCATCTTTGGCCTTCCAGTCTCTGCAGCTGCTTCCGCCTTGGTATTTCTTCTTAGGTGAGGCAATAGGTTTACCTCGGCCAGCTCAGAATGAATCACAGCTGAGACCCACTCTTTTTCTAATTAAAGAGAAGAGAAGGAAGCAAAAGGGGGCATGGAGTTGTCTTCATCATTTCAGCTGGAAACATGGGAATACCCCAAAATGAGAGGGAGGTACCCTTGTGTGTTTAGGTTCCAGGTTAAAGTTGGTTCCCTTCAACCTAGTTTGTGTTAACCTATGGTCCTTTACAGGGTTCTCAGTAGGTAACTCACTTTAGTACCTGTCTATAAATGGCAGTGTAATTATTCTAAAATAATGAGTATAAAAGCCACCCCACAGGCTACTGCCAAAAACATAACAGCAGTTATATAATATGAGACTTTCAATACAAATGTAATAAGTATAGTGGGACTTGTTAAAATACAACGAACAGTTAAGTAAGTGGTTATAAACATATCTTGAAAGATTATATCAACTTATTCATTCTTGGTTTTGCTTGTCATTGTTTTCTCTATTCTTTTCTCCGAACAAGCATCTATTTTTTTGTGATGTAGTAAATGTCCCATCCTTTTAAAAAAAAAAACAGAAACAGTATTTGTCCTCCAAATAGTCTTAATTGCCTGAAAACTCACCTTAAATTTCTAGGGTAAGGTGCTATTTCAAAGCGTTTCTCATTTTAAAAACATTAATACTTTCCCTAATGCACTGGTCTTTCCTAATACTAATTAATGCAGTGGTTATTGGAGTGCCGCCCCCCCAAATCAGCAACATCAGTATTCCCTAAGAACTTATTAAAAATGCAAATTCTGGGGCCAGTTTTGTGGCACAACAGGTATCCTATATGAGCTCTGATTCGAGTCCCACCTGCTCTGTTTCTGGTCCAGCTCTCTGCTCATGTGCAGAGCCAGGGTCCTGCAACTCCACCCATGTAGAAAACCCCGATGGAGTTGCAGGCTCTGCTCTGACCTGCCTCTTTCCTCTTTCTTACTGCCTTTCAAATAAATAAATATCTTAAAAATCCGCAGCTTCTCATGCCCTCTCTTCAAGTTTGCCTTCATCTGATGAACAGGCTGGTTTGAGAGTAGCTACTCTGACATTTCCTGCTTGAGAATGACTTGTGTTTTCATGCAACAGGATACAAAGGACCCACAGAAGGCTGGGAGATGTCTGAGCTGCTGGGGGCGGGGGAAGGGATTGGAGAAGGGATTGCCAGAACTGTTAGTGTGGAATTTGGAAGGCTAGGCTGCTGCCATGCACACCAAAGGAAAGATTCTGTGCTTGGGGTTCACATCAGGGCAGAGCATGTGCTCAGGAAGAGCCCAAGTGTATGGACTGTGGAGAAGCAAAGTGTTCTGTACCACTCAGATGAGCTCAGTGGGAAGCCTGCTGAAGTTGGAGGTCATGAGTGTGTAGGTGTACATGCAGGTGGATATACAGGGTGGTAATGATTCAGATACCATAACACTGCGACTATTGCAGCATTATCTTTGAAAGTTCCAGGTGGAAAAGGTCATCTTTCCAGTTTCTGACAATAGACTGTGTTCAGTGTTTGTAGATGCTCATCTTAATCTTACCTTTTGTAGTTGCATGAAGCAGCCACTGTAGAACTTCTGCCAGAGAATCAGTATGTAAAATGTCACAGAGCTTTGACAGGATCTGACAGGGAAGATTAGAGTTTCATAATAAGCAAGCAAATGATTTCCTGTACCATCTCCAGAATCTTCTCTTCCCTCACATTACTGTATATGATGATGCACAACTAAGTCAATTAGGATTTCAGCCTGGAAGCCATATTTCAAGTAGTGCACTGTAGAGTTTAGGTAAATCATTCCCATTACATTTAATAGTTTAGCTTAAGCAACACAGTGTGTTTCTCTTGTTTTGTCTGGTTAATACCAAAATCTCCTGGCAGCAGCATTTCACTTCTTTGGGGGGAATCAATTATTTTTTTAAATTTATTTTTATTAATTACATTGCATTATATGACAGTTTTATAAGCTCTGAGATTCCCCCAACCCCTCCTCACACCCTCCTCCCAAGGTGGATTCCTCCACTTTGTTGCTGTATTACAGTTCAAATCCAATCAAGATTCTTTCATTGCAAGCATATACCAAGCATAGAGTCCAGCATCTTATTGTCCAGATAAATCCAACAGTTTCTTGGGGAGACCATGTCTGGTCTGAAAACAGAGCTGGCAGAATATCATCCCAATCAATTAAAAGCTACAAGATAACATCAACAATTTGCAACATTATGGAATTAATTGACATGGTATTCAGTAACCAGTATGTTAAAAGAAAAAAAAGTACAAGTTCTTAACTACATCCTGTGACTACTTCATTGACATTTCAATTTTAGTTTGTATACAGCCACCTTCTATACACCTTAAAATGGCTATAGGATACTATTCAGTTGTCTGGTGTCTATTTTCATTTTAGTATTTATTTAGCAGTTTATGGTGCTGAAGCATAATTTTGCTGAACTTGGCAGATTTTAGGATAGTCTAAACTGGCTTATAACTCTAACAAGGCATATGTCAACAGTTTAGGTGTAGAACAGTTTTAGGAGGGGTGTGCAGAGAAATCTTCAATACCTTAGTGAGGAGTAACTAATCTTTGTGTCCTACTTAGTAAGGTATGTGTGAGTCCACGCTGACCGTTCCTTGTCTGGTTCTAAGCTTTCCTTGTTGTTGTTTGTCTATCTTTTCTAGATTTTTTTGTTTGTTTGTTTGTTTTGATGGGTTTCTGGAGCAATCCTAATGGTCACTGTGAGAGAGGGCAGGGACCCACAGTTGGAACCAAGCAAGGACCAGAGAAAGCTCCCCTCCCTAGTCCCGAAGGAAGTTTACTGTTCTTCTGTTTCTGCAGACCAGTCCACTCAGGGCTCCTGGCTGTCGTTCTGATGACCTTGGATCCTACAAGGAAAGATTTGGGCTTCTTCCATCCCATGTGGGAGATCTAAACAGGGGTGGATGACCTCAGAGTTCTTGACCTCCAAAGGCACCTCAATTCCCCATGGTCTCCTTGGCAGTTGGAATGTAGTTTTTGGTGCCCATATTGATAGTCCTTGGTGGGGATCTGGGAGTTTCCAGGGTTGGGATACAAGCCTCCTCCTGTCCCCCTGCTCCACTCTGGGGTGCCCCCCTGCTCTGTGCATATGACCTCCTGTTAAGAGGTTGTCAGGATTGCTCTTGATTCCCCCCACATGCCTTTGTAGTTTTACTATTGTCTAATGCTGATTCGAGTCTATTATCTATAAGTTCCTGATAGGTTATTCTTCTCATCTTCCTCACACATTCTAGGGAGATGGAATATTTCTCTGCTCTCTGGGGAATCAATCCTTTCCCATTGCACCACTGGGTTCTAGTAGGTATCTGCGGGTCAGGGAACCGATCTCACCAGCACTGCTCCTTATTCACAGTGTTGGGGAAAGGGAGAGATCAGAATCAAACCTGTCATTGTACCTCAGTTCCTTCAGCACAGTGCATAGATTAGAGGGATAGGAAGATAATTGCCTTTAGTCGCTCTGAACCCTTCCTTGAGGATTTTCTTTTTAAATCTAGACAGTATGCTGAAGTGTAAGCAATAGTGCAGAGAGAAATGCCAAATAATAATTCTATTAAAATGGTCTTAAAAGCAAATAAAAATACAGTTTATACTTTTAATTTGTGTCTGCCGTTGTGACTGAGACCTCCCTGGATTTCCTATCTCTGTACTTCAGTCCCATTTACTCTGCCTGTTAGATGCATCCACTTAGATATACTTTGCAGAAGTACTTTAGATACAATCTATCCAAAACCCATATTTCTTTCCCTAAAACCCACTCCAAACTTGCTGTTCTACTGGTCCCCATATATCAGTGCATAGTACAGCACACATGAGTTGTCCCAAGAAGACCCTGGGATCCCACCAGGGCAATTCCACTCTCCTGTCTACCTGACCGTGGCAAACAAGTCATTAACTTGTACTTTCTCAATGTTTCTCAAATCCCTTCATTTCTCTTTATCCTCCATTGCCTCGATCTGGTCTGCAAAAATCTTAATCCTGCAACATCCATCCTTCTAGGCTCTGCCTGAATTCTTAAATTATTATTAACTCTACAAATATTTGTATCAGACATTGATCAGGATTACTGAAGATATTTATATGAAATTTGAGCATTGAAAAATTCACTATTTTGGTATAATATTTGGTACAATATAGTAATATTAAATATGAATTTAAATATAAAAGTTAAACTTGATCTTAATATCACAACTTCAGTTTTGAGTGTATTTCATGACATAGAACTGTATCCACTGCAGTCTCCTGGATTGACATTTTCTAGAATAACAAGCCTGAGCTCTAAGGATAAGAGCAGAAATTTCCATAAATGTGTTATTTCCCTAATCAGACTGTGAAATGGAACTTTGCATCTGTTCACTCTAAGGGGAAGCTCCTCCCTCACTGGACATAGCAGACTAGGAGTCCAGTCTAAGGGTCCACCCTCAGTTTGTAAGTTGTAGCAAAGAACATGGATCAGTACTGTCTTAAAAGGCCTTTTCCCTTTCAAGTCACAAGGTCAGATATGGCAGAATTCATGACTCCAAAACTCTGTAAAGAATGGTTCTGGAGAACAAAACAGAAATTAAACTGGTGGCATACAAGCAGCCAATAGAAGATCTTTTCTGTCTCTTTTTCTCTGCGTTTCACATAAGATAAAGTTTTTTAAAAATCAAATATAAAGTGACAGTTTTTTTTCCTATGCAGTACTTTAAAATGTCTCTCCATGTCTTATGGCTTATACATTTTTTCCTGAAAGATTTTTTTTTTTTATTTGAAAGAGTGACAGAGTGAGGGGAGGAACAGGGAGAGAGAAGGAAAAACAGATATTTTATTTGCTGATTCACTTCTAAAATGGCTGCAATGGCTAGGTCTGGACCGAGCTGAAGCCAGCAACTTGGAACTCCATCCAGGTGTCCAACAGGGTTGTCGGAGGCCCAAGTACTTGAGCCACCATCTTCTCCTTTCCCCGGTATTTTAACAAGAAGCTGTATTGGAAGCAGAACAGCCAGGACTTGAGCCAGCTCTCCAGTATGATATGCTGGCATTACAAGCATCAGCTTAGGCCACTGCGCCACAACAATGGCCCCCCACTTCCATGTTTTCTAAGGAAAAGTCAGTAGTCAGATGCTAGAGAGAAGATCAAGCTAAACACAGAACTATGTCTTAGAACTCAGCTTGGTGAAATCTAACACTGCAGATCCTAATGGTCCTTGTCCTCAGCCCTGTGCCTGCAGATAGAGGCTCATGGAAAACATGTCCTTAGTTGATCAGACTTGTAACTGGCCTGCATCACCTATAACTGATGACGGTGTCAGATCCTCAGCAGCATGGCCTTTGGAACCACTCCAATGTTGTACTGCACTGGTCCCGGTAGACTGTAGGCTCCAGATGTGATTTAGCACTGGAATGTTGGAGCTATGAGATTGTTCATCCTAATCTTCCAGCAGCACAACATAAGAATAATTGTCCACTTGGGGGCAAGAAATGAGGTATGTGCCATGTCATTGCATAGGAACCTGTGGACAGTCTCTATAGCACAAGGCCCAGAGCTAGGCAGAATTTTATATTTGAGGTTTGGCATTGTGACAATGTAGCTGTTAAGTGGCTGCCTATGATGCCAGCATCCCATATGGATGCAAGTTTGAGTCCCAGCTGCTACACCTCTTATTCTGCTCTCTGCTGATATCCTTAGGAAGGCAGTGGGAAGTGGCCCAGTCCCTGGGCTGGCACATTCATGTGGGAGAGCGAGATGAAATTCCTGGCCTAGCCTTTCCCACCCATCACGAAAGATGAGTCAGCAAATGGAAGATTCTCTCTCTGTGGATCTCTGTGTTCCAAATGCAATAAATAAAAATATTAAAAAAGTAAATAAATCCTATGTCTGAGTACAGACCAGTGACTATGGATGTTGTGTCTACCTGAGTCCCAGGAGTGAGCTTCAAGGAAAGACTACCCCTTTTTAGGAATCCCCAAAGTTCAACTGCAGATCTATGGCTTCATGCTATTCCCAAGTATGGATTAATTGCCTCTTACTTTGATTTCCTGATCCAGATAGTTAGGTATGCGCACAGTGTTCTCTTTGACTTCCACCTTGGCATCCATCACTTCAGAAGAACACGAGCCAGCAGCGGAGCTTGTCTTTGGGGGTGATGGTGGCTTTGTGACCTTAATTTCTTCCTGAATCAAAATAAGAAAAAGCTATGCATTTATAGCCACTTATATTTGTATGAAAATGAAGTTCAAGAAAATGGGAAATATGGTAGTTAATAAGAAGACCAGTGAAAGTAAAAGAGGTTATTTTTAATTGTCAATCTCTATCCCATATTTATATTTGGAGACAACAAATAATGTTTGTTAACTTTTAGTAAAGTCACTTAAAGACCCTTGCTTAAGCACCAGGATAATATTTTTTAGATGTGTAATGTGTAACTTTCATTTACATTGCAATTCCACATAATAACCATCATGTGACAGATGAGATCTGCCAGTGAATTGGAAAGATTAAATGGGTAGGAAAGAACAGCTAAGAGGTTTTATGCTTTGAAACCATTTCAGGGTGCAAACTGCTTCCCCCTTCCTCTGCTAACAGGACATAGGAAAGCTAGTTTGAGTGTAAATACTCTGTTCACAATTTATAAAGCAATAAAGGTTTGTGGGACCTTTGAATCCAGGAGGAGATTTATAGAGGCCTCAGGCGTGTGCGCCTGATCCAGGAAAGCTTCTTAACAACCTGTTCGATCAATACATAAAGTAACTCAGGAAAAAAGTCAACACCTAGGGCTCTGATCATGCTCATTGCCAGACCTCTAGAGTTGGACATATAAAGGAAATAAAGCTGTATTTCTTTCTTTAAACATTGATTATGAAGGCTTAGTTTTTTTTTTTCTTGGGTGGGGAGGAGGGAGAGGGAGAAATGGTGGTGGATAGGAAACACATTTTGTCCAAACTTTCCACCGAACAAACCTGAATGTATTTTTTTTTTAAATAAAAGAACAAGCATGAATAAAACATTAGGTGAAGGGGAAGTAAGACACATATATCTAGTGCAGTAGCTATTTTTACCCTGAGACCATTTGATCTCATAGAGTGATAGCTTTGTGAGAGGTCTTTAAAGGGTCGTGACGGATAGGAGTCAAACCGTGTAGCCCAAATAAGGACCACATCCTCAAGATGAAGAAGACCTAGAAGTGAAACAGTTTTTGAAGAGCTATAGTCTGGAAGACCTGGAAAAAACCCTGGCTCCTAGCTTTGAAATGGCTCAGTTCTGGCCATTGCAGACACCTGGGGAGTGAACCAGCCAATGGAAGATTTCTTTCTCTCTTCTTCTCTCAGTAAATTTTTCTTTCCAATGTAAAGTAATAAATCTTCAGGAAGAAAAAGAAATACAGCCTGGGATAAGGCTTGAACTTGGTTTAGAGTGGTCTAGACTGAAAGGATGTCTGGGTTCCTACAGAAAAAGACACAAGTTCTCTGGAAGAAAGTATCGATCATGGGTTGCAGATTTCCAGAAATAATGCTTCATATATATGTTTAGCACTTGAGCCAGGAGTCAAAAAAGAGATTTCAATAAGTGCTGCAAAATATTTTGGACAATATAAATGAAAATGTTTTATAGCAAAAAAATGTGCAAGCAGCTAAAGTAGACTTTAGAGAACTGATAGTCTTAAAATCATGCACAAGGGATCTTTAAAAAGTTCATGGAAAATATGCAAAAATGATGCTGTGTTTCAAAATGTTTTTATAACAAAGTAAGCTTAACTTTTAATGAAAATGATTTACCTAATTTACATGAAAGTGAGAGAGATGGAGAGAGAGAGAGACAGAGAGAGAGAGAGAGAGAGCACTTGTTTTATTCCCAAAATGACTATAATAGAGGAGGATGGGCCAGGCTGAACCAACAGCCCAAAGCTCATTTGGATCTCCCATCATCTGCTGCATTTCAGGCATATTTGCAGGGAGTTAGAGTGAAAGAGTAGCACCCAGCATTAGAATAGGCACTCTGCTATGGAATGCTTAACATTGCAAGCATGACTTAAACCATTGTGCCATAACACAATCCCAATTCTATCTTTAATTTCCTTTTCCCTCAAACTTTTGGAAGCCACTTGTATTACAAAAATACAAAGAAGTTAGAAGAACAAGGCCTGGCGTGGTGGCCTACCAGCTAAAGTCCTCGCCTTGAACACACCGGGATCCCATATAGGCACCAGTTCTAATCTCAGCAGCCCTGCTTCCCATCCAGCTCCCTGCTTATGGCCTGGGAAAGCTGTTGAAGACGAAGATGGTTTAAAGCCTTGGGACCCTGCACCCGTGTGGGAGACCTGGAAGAAGTTCCTGTATCCTGGCTTTGGATCAGCTCAGCACTGGCCGTTGTACTCACTTGGGGAGTGAATCATTGGACAGAAGATCTTCATCTCTATATATCTGACTTTGCAATAAAAATAAAATAAATATCTTTAAAGGAATCTTAAAAAAGAAGTTAGAACAATAATGTATGTAAATAGGAAAAGAAAAATAAATGAACAAAACAAAAAATGTGCAAGATAGAGGATCAAAAAATCACAAACATTACTTGACATAAAGTGGACAAATTTCTGTTGAAACATATCAAGAAAAATATAAACCAATAAAATTAATATATAATAAACTACTTCTTACAGAAGTAATATCTCCAGATGTCTCAAAATAAATGTAGGGATATATGCATAACTTTGTCAATAAATTTGAGCATTTAGATGAAATAAAGAATTTGTAGAAAAAGAACAGTTACCAAAATAGACTCGAGAATATGAAAAATTCCATTAAAAATAGATTTTGAAGCAAAGGATATTATCAGAGACAATAGTTTCGAAATGAATAAAAAGGTCATTTCATCAAGAGAACTTTAACAGTTATACTCAACGAGAGCTTCAAAACACATGGCTAAAGTTGGTAGAATTTTGCAATTACGAAGAGACTTTAATCCTTCTAAATTGATAGGAAAAATATAGAGAGCCAATCTGTATAACTATGGAAAATTTGAGGAACAGTACCATCCAACTTTACCACCCAGCTTTAAAAAAAGATTTATTTTTATTGAAATGCAGATTTATAGAGAAAAGGAGGGACAGAGAGACAGATTTTCCATTGCTGGTTCACTCCTCAAGTAATTGCAATGGCTGGATCTGAGCGGATCCAAAGCCAGGAGTCAAGATCTTCTTTTGGGTCTCCCATGTAGGTACAGGGTCCCAAGGCTTTGGGTCATCCTTTACCACTTTCCCAGGTCACAAACACGGAGATAGAAGGGAAGTAAAGCAGCCAGGATATGAAAAGGTGCCTATATTCAATGCTGGCACTTGAAGTGGGAGGATTAGCCAATTGAGTCATTGTGCCTGGGCCCAAATACTCTACTTTTATTGTATTCTGTTGGTCAGCAGCAAAGTTACCGCTCTATTCATGGGCACATAGAAAAATTTGACCATATTCTGTGCAATATATCCAATCTCAGTAAATTTCAGAATCTTTAAACTGTCAAGTATGTTCTCTGTCAAGAGTGAAATTGAGTTGGAAATCCACAGTATATTTGAGAAATTCCCACTTATTTAAATTAAGTGCCTTAATTTAGTTTCCTGTGAGCTAAAGAAAAACCTAAAAAGGAAATTGTAAGGTATTTTTAAAAGAATGAAAGTGAAAACACAGTAAAGTGTGGAGATACAAACAAAACAGTGTTTTTTGAACATTACAACAATACATTGCTTGGGCCCTGCTTGGTAGCCTAGCGGCTGGAGTCCTCACCTTGTATGCAGCGGGGACCAAGGTTGGCACCGGTTAGTGTCCTGGTGGTCCTGCTTTCTATCTGGTTCCCTGTTTGCCTGGGAAAGCAGTTGAGGACGGCCCAAAGGCTTGGGACCCTGTACCCGCATGGGAGACCAGAAGAGGTTCCAGGTTCCTGGCTTTGGATCAGATCAGCTCCAGCCATTGCAGCTCCTTGGGGAGTGAATCAGAGGATGGAGGATCTTCCTTTCTGTCTCTCCTCCTCTCTGTATATCTGACTTTACAATAAAATTAAAATAAATCTTAAAAAAAAAAAAAACCCAAATGCCTCACTTACATTAGAAAAGAAAGTATCTCAAAACGATGACCTAAACTTCTCTATGTACAAGCCCAAGTCAACAAAGTGATGGAAATAATCAATGATGTTAGAAATAATCAATGAAATGAAATGTCAGTTCTTCAAGGAAATCAGTAAAACTCATGAACTTCTAGCTGGACATATCAGGAAAAAAAATAATATTGGGAATTACCAATTTCAGGAATAAGAGAAGGTACATCCTTGAAGATTATAAGATCATAGAAAAAAAGTTGTGAACAACTTCATGTCACTAAATTCGACAACTAAATGAATGGAAAATTCCTTGAAAAATACAAACTACTGAGGCCCACTAAAGAATAAAACCTGAGTAGCATACATTTAGGAAAGGGAACACTGTTGTTTCTAACTTTAACCTAAAGAAAGGTCCAGTTCAAGGATGGCCACACTGAACAATTCTAAGCTTGTAAGAAAGAAATATCAATTCTACATGAAATCTTCCATAACAACAATAATTTATTCTGTGAAAACATCATTAAATTAGTATGTAAATCAGAAAAAGACATGATAAGAAAATGACAAATATTCCTTAGTAACATAACAGAAGATGCTCAACATGTTATGAAATTTGGTATATAAAAATAACCCATCATGATCAAGTGGGATTTTTATCAAAAATTCAAAGTTGGTTTAATATTTCAAAGTTAGTCAATGTAATTCACACATTAAGAAACCACAAAGGCAGGAAAAAAATTCACCTTCCATTTCTGGATAAAACTTTCAGCACATTAGGAATAAAAAGGTCCTCAGACATAAAGAAAAAGCATCTATGAATAATGTAAGTTTATGTTAGACTTAATGAAGAAAGTCTGAATACATCCCATCTATGGTCGAATACAAAGCAAGAGTGTGTGCTATTATCACATCTATTCAACATTGCACATATCATTAAAGTGTGATAAACATCAGGTGGATTTGAAACTAATACAAAAAAAATAAAAATTTGGATTTGAGGCGGACATTGTGGCACAGCAGGTAAAGCTGCTGCCTATAATGCCATCATCCCGTATGGGCACTTGTTCAGGTCCTTTGATCCAGCTCACTGCCGATGTTCTGGGAAAGCAGCGGAGGATGGCCCACGTGCCTGGGCTCCACAGCCATGTGGGAGACTTGGGTGGAGTTTTAGGCTTTGGCCTGGCCGAGCCACGGCCCTTTCAGCCATTTGGAGACAGAACCAGTAAATGGAAGAGCTCTGCCTCCCCGCTCCCCCAATGGTTCAAAAAAAAAAAAAAAAAGTAAATAAATAAATAAAATTTAAAAATAAGCCTCTGGTTAAAAGGCCATATTTTCAAAATACACATGTCACAAAAAATTTCTATCTATGAAAATTTCTATCTATAAAGAATCTATGAACTTTTACAGCAAAAGAGAGTCTAGCAAACCCAGTTTTTAAAAGTTAGTGTAAAGGATTGCTACAATGGCAAACCAATTAAGTAGTTTATTTCCTGCAAAATCAGTGTCCCATATTGGTATGCCAATTCAAAAATCACAGTAAGATACCACTATGTACCTATTAAGATGGTTAAAATTAAGAAGACTGTTTATGACAAGTTTTGGGAGGATGTCAAAGGAAATACATATGATTATATACCGCCAGTGGCAATTTCTCACGGTATAAACACTTGGTAAGCAAATTGGCAGTTTCTTAAAACTTCAAACACAAAAAGTGGTACACCAATATTTAATTGGCTTTGTCCAAAATCAGAAGCAACTCAAATATCCCTCCATAGGTGAATTGATAAAGTGTGGGAATGCCATACAATTAAGTACCGCTCAATATAGTTGAATGCTATTCAGTATTGAAAAGAAATGAGCTATTTATTGAGATGCAAAGCAACAAGGATGAATCTTAAAATTCATCATGCTGAGCTCAACCATATATATGATTTCATTTATATAAAAGCAGAGTATTCCATAGCAATCTTTACTGATAGGATATAGATAAATGTTAGCTATTTGGAAGGCAAGGGTCATAAAGGAACTTTGAGGTGACAGGTGTGTACATCCTTTGATCTTAAGGTAGTTTATCAGGTTGTGTACGTATTTCCCAAAACACATCAAATTGTGCATGTTTATTATGTGATCTTATATCTCATTATTGATACTTAAATAGAGCTATAAAATATGGTGACTTCAGAAAGCTATGTGAACAGAAAGAGAGGAAAGGATGGAAATCAAACTAAATACATAGCTGAAAAAAAAAACCCAGTTTTTACCTGTTTAATTACTAAAGGATTTTCACTGGAAGTTTTGAAGCACTCTTTGATTTTCCTAATAGGCTCTGAAAGGAAATTGAAAGAAAACGTATTGAAGTTAAACTAAAAAATTCCCAACATGTGATGTATGTGTCAGTTGCTAAACAAATCAGATTCCCCATAAACTTAAATTAAGGAAAATTCAGGAATCTATTTTAAAATATTAGGAAACTTATAGACAGAATTTCATTATAACAATGTAATTAAAGTGTATTGATATTAAAAATCAATTCTATGCCCAAATTGTTGATGTGCTATACTTTATTAATTTGGTTAAAATTTACTTTAAAATGACAAATTTCTGTCTGATAGGTCTTTTTTCTATTTTCTTGTCTACGTAACTGCTACTTCCTCTAATTATAAGAGAATCTAGGGACTGATATTTAAATCAAGAGTATGGTTGCTGCTTTGGATTCATCACATAATCAAGGTTCTGATTCGGGTCCTGGCTTCTTTATTTGCAATCAAACTTGCTAATTCACACTAGAAAGCAGCAGATGATGGTTCAAATACTTAGGTCCTACCAGCCACATACAAGACCCAGAAGGAGTTCCAGGATACTAAATTTTGTGAACTAAGAAAGTGAACTAGCAAATGATTTAAGAAGTGAACTAGCAAATGATTCTCTCTTTCAGCAAGAACATTGTATGATTACTTTAAAATCACTGCTACTTTTTAACAGTCATGTGGTTCCCACTTCTTCCATTTATTGGCAAAAGGCCCAAGGAAACATTGAAACATTTCATCAGTGCAGAGTGACTCACCAGAATGGGGCCTTGGGGGTACTTTGACCCAGTTTGGGGCGGGTGACACTCCTCTGATGGGGCTGTGCGGCACTGTGGTGCTGGGTGGTTGGTCACCGCACTTGGAAACTGGTTTCTCTTCCTTCTCTATGTGATTAAACTGACCAACGCCCCACAGCGTTCTGAGTGCAACCTCGTCGTCATTGACAGTACAGATTGGAATATTATTCAAACCTCAGTAGGATGAAAAAACAATCAGAATTAGATTTTTGGCAGGTTTTCTTTGAAGGATCAGGAATTGCTCAATCAAAATTGTGAAACAGATGTAAAATGTTAGATTTCAAACTGTGTAAATCATGGTTTAAAGGCCATTCTTTGAAAGTCAGTATAGCCAGTTTTGTTTGCACAGCTGCTTCCTGCCATCTGGTCACCATTGAGAAGCGCACATCTTTAGCCACCATCTGGGAGTCCAGGAGATTAGACCTGCTTTTATCCCAGATTCTTTGCTTTCCATGTCCAACTAATGACAAAGGGGGCTGTACCAGCCCTGTTCAGCGACATTAACTTTCATCTGTGGAGAGCATCTAGAATTCATTTATGTGCTGAACGAAGTTAAAAGCTATTGGAGTGAGGGCTAAGCAATGGATCCAGCAGGATCATACAGAAAGGAGGAAGGAGAACTAGGTAGAGTTTCTTCTTGATGTATGACTTCTTCTTTATGTATGATTACAACAGCTAGGTGATTTGGATTCAAATGTAGCATTTGGTTCAAACGTTAAATTACAGCCAGATACTCTTTAATAATAATGTTAATTCTAAATCATGTGGAATTGGACAGCTTAGAAAATGGGGGTGAGCAGGGCATTGGTCTCTGTGGATCAGTGAATTGTGTAAGGAACTAAGAGATGGTTGCTTTGTCTTCCAAGGAGCAGGCACACAAATTACTGGACAGTTTTTCATAGCTGCTCATTCTGCCAAAACTCCCTGTAGTACTGCTGGTCCTCCCAACCCACTTCTTACCTGTCTGCTCAGACAATATAAAAAGGTCTTTGCTGGCAACCCTGTCTAAAATGCACTTCTTCCCTCTATCCCCCGATGTACTCTTCTTTTTCACAGCTTTGTCACTTATGATGTATCTGTGTCGTATGTCTGAGCTGCACTATGGTATGAGCTACCAAAGTTAAGGGACTTGGTTTCCTGTTGTATTCTCAGTTCTCAGAAGTGCACTGGACAGAGGCTGGATGTTTTGTGATTATTTTTTGAATGAGTGAATAACAGAACCAAGCCTAAAGCTTGTATTTAGTCCAGTTCATAAAACTGATAAAATATGGGAAGAGCATTGCCAGAATCTGCTGAGAAAGCAGCCTGTGTGTCCTATAAAAACAAAGCTGAGAACTGATGCAGCCATTACCACTATGTTAGACTCAGGCCAGTCAGATATTGTAGATGACAGGATGGAAGAAAAACACAAAGTAAAATTTTTTTAAAAAGTGTCTGTGGCACCAGTGAGCTATCCAGTCAACTCAGGCCTAAAACCCATCTTGATGCTGCATCTCCCAGTTAGCAAAAGCAATAGCCCATCTCTGTTATACTAACCAGTTAGATTTATCATTCTGTTACTTATAACGGTGACTGTGCTTACTGATAATGCTCATTGGTTTTGTCAAAATGAAGGCTAGGGAACTTTATCAAGATAGTTTATCTGGGAGCATGGTAAAAAGGCAGGACGCAGTGGGTTAAACAGTAGCTCAGGGGCCAGTGTTGTGGTGCAGTTAGGCCACCTTTTATAATGTTAGCACCCGTTATGGTCCGGCCAGCTGCTCTGCTTTTTATCCAGCTTCCTGCTGATAACATGTGAAGGTAGTAGATGTTAGCGGTTGGCCATCCATGTGGGAGACCAGGATGGAGTTTCTGGCTCCAGGATTCAGATTGGCCCAGTCCCAGCTGTTTGTTGTCGCCATTTTTGGAATGTACAGCAGATGGAAGATCCTTCCTTTTCTTTCCCTTTCCCTCTACCATTCTTTCTGTTCAGCTCTTTCAAATAAATCTTGAGAGAGAGAGGGTGAGAGAGAGAAAGCTCAGAGAAATAAAGAACATGAAATACAGATATTTCTTGACTAAAAAAAATAGAATTTCCTTAGAGTCATATATACAAACCTCTCTAAATCTGGCCCCTGATCAGCTTCTTCCCTAGTCCCAAATAGCCCTTCTCTTCTCCTTACATGTGCCATAGCAGGCTCGGTCTCCAGATGCTCTAGGCTGTGGGAGCCTGGCTGTTCCTTTGTGTCTGTTGTCTGTGCATGTACCGCAGTATAGATGTCCTTATCACAGTTATTTTATAAAGCATCTTGTTCCTCGGCAGTCCATGTCTGAGACCAGGCTTTTGTCTGTATTTTCACTCCAGATATATTCATTGAATTAATGAATAAATAAAGGAATGAATGAATAAAGAGATGATCAATATCCACCCCTCTAAATATCACATCTGTATTGATGATTCCTGAATGTACACCTGAGCTTCTGGTTTCCCATTTGAGATCCAGCCACTTCCATTAGAATGCCTGGTGTAACGACATGCAGGATGCCTACCACTCTGCCCTAGCAATCAAGCAATCTGAGGGGTAAGTAGTCAGGTTCCTGCTGCAGCCATACCTGGTTCCAATTGTCAATGCTTATGCCTCACCAGTGATAAACATCTTGAATGGCAGCTCTGTGTTTACCCACCAGAATCATCACATAGTCCAGATATAGACAACATACTTCCTGGGATCTTATGTCCCCTTACCTTTGATGTGACACACTCTCCTCGGGTGAGGTGTGTTCCTGACCAGAAAACAACTTCCATTTCTGGCTGCGATGCGGCTGCCTTTGCTCTCAAACTGAAGAGCAGATGTTGGAGGTTTGAAATTCATGCTGGTAGCTTGTTGATTTCCCCTCTGCACCGTTGACGGAAAAATTTATGGGGCCTAACGTGACTGGCCTCACATCCAGTTGTGCTAAGACCCTGCAATGACAGAATGAAAACTCTTCTGACAAGAGGCTCCCAATGTTTTCTTAATCACCAAACATTGCTCCATTTTCTTTTTCTGCACTGACTTTTTGCTCATATTGAAGCAATGTGAGGCTATTTTGCTTTCAGATAAAATTCTAGTCAATATTGAAAACATTTTATATATGTGGAATATAAAGTTTATCTTCAGAGAAATCTTATGCATGAAAAAAAAATCAAAGCACATATTTTTTATGGCATTTAAGGTCACTTTGTTGGTTTACCAACCAAAAGATTCCATATTATCAAATTTGATATAGCTAATTTTCAGATGATTTAAAAATACAATAACCATGAATATACTGTATACTAAACGAGGCCTTTTCATATTGTCCTTTAAAAGCCAGCATTTTAAATTTGTATTGTCTCCTGAAAGTATGGTGAAACCTGAAGGAGGAAAACAGTCCAAAGACTGTTATTGCAGCTACACGATAAACACTAGAGGATCTTTGTCATGTCATTGCTTATAAAATTCAGTGTTCTTTCATTCATTCAGCTAGCATTTATTAGACACCTACAGAGCCATAGGCCCAGGATGTGGAAGATAATATTGATGTGGCTGACGCCCCAGCCTGGAATGCACCTCACTCAGACCTTCCCTGGCTTTTCCCTTCCTTCATCGTTATTCTGTCTCAGGACCGTTTCTCCAAAGGCTTCCTGCCCTTCTGTCCCCAGGAATCTCCACAGCCAGCTCAGCCTTCATTACTCTCCTACCCCTTTCCCTTCTCATGCTATCTTCATCTCCCTGCCATTTTTAACATTTATTTTTCTCTCAATAGGATATAATAAATCAGGCAGGCAATAATCTACAAGTTGTGTGTGTGTATCTATGTTGTCCCAGTATTCAGAAAACAGTCTGGCACAAAGTGTATGCTCATTAAATATTTACTAATCAAATGGAAATGTTTTTCACAGAATCAATATCTTTCTACCAAATTCTCAGCATATGTTTCTCATATGATTTATCAAAATTAGGTTATTTCTTTAAAAGACAATGACATATGTCCTTAAAGCAGCAGATGCATTTAAACATCACTAAATAATATCCAAAATTATCATAATGATGAATTGAAAAGGATATCTGAGCATACAAAGCATTTCCTGATTGAAAGGAACTCAAAGCTATAGATAGCCCTCCAGCCTTAAACAGCCCAGACTGAAGTTTTGTTGGTTTCCCTAAACCCTTGTAGTTACCTGGGGAATTTTTAGGTGAGACCACAGTCTAATGCCTAATACCTCCAAAAGAAAGTAGCTTCTCCTTCCAGTTCCTCCCGCTCTCACTCCATGGTGCCCATGGGGCTCCCTGGATAAGATGCCCTACATAGCTTAGCAACATGGCAACATTCCTTTAGAGAGATCTGAGTTCCAGAACCTCTTCAGCCATCATTTCTCTCAGACCCCCAGTTACCCACAACCCAACAAAGCCATGTGGCAGAAAATGCCTGTCCCAAAATTTGGACATAGAAGAGTACTGTATCAAATACAAGAGAAAAATGGGAGAGAAAATAAAAAGAATTACAAATCATAGTGATAATTTTCCCAACATTGGAGGTTCAGAAACACCATGTGATGTAATCAACCCCTGCTTGTTAATAACCCTTTGTCTATAATCCTGGGAAACAGAGATTTTTCTAGTTATTGTTTGTTATCTTTATTTAGTGTAGGGCTAAGTTTGTGAGTTCAAAGTGAATTGAAAACATTGTAAAAATTAAAAGGAAGAAAAGAAGGATGAGGAAAATGGAAGAAAGGTAAGAAGGATGGGTTAGGAAGTATTGTATTTTTCAAACTGAATATATGAAACAAAGGAGGGGAACTATGATGAAGTATGAATGAGTTTAAAGTTTTCCCAATCATTGTGAGTGAAACACATCGTTTTGGTCATCAAAATGTCCAAACCAGCGATTTGTTAAAATAGCGTTGAAAAAAGTGTTGAAATATTAGGTAAAGATGATAGAAAATAAGGTGCACAGAAAGGCATGGTGCGTACCACTACTTTTGTTTTCAGACTACACATGATTTTGGATTTATGAGTAACAGTCTCTGGAAGCAGCATAGGTAATTTCTGAAAGTGAAACAAGTTGAATATAATGCAAGGATGAAGCCCAAGTCTGTTTATCTGGCTGGCCCTGTGACAATTCCACCTGACAACCTCCCTGTGCCTGTGAGTCCTTTATGACATACACTCTGCTTTACTATATTTTCTGGGGAATTTCATTGGTTTTCCAATGTCATTTTGGCATTTAGAGATTTTCATTCTATACTTTGGATATTTTTTTTTTTACACAGCTAATAGCAGAGACCAGACATAGAGCTTTAATCAAAAATATACATGTATTTCCCCTTCACCTAAAAGAGTTCAACAGCTATGACTGGTTTGGAAGCCTATGGATTTCAGTTGTGATTATTTACCTTACTTAGTATTTAACTGCAGTTTTTGAAGTTATGTGTTGCTCAAATGATTTCTGGAATTTCAGTCATCTGAAAAGCAGGGAACAAGAGGACAACTAAGGAGCTATTGGCAGACAAGGGCACATACCAGCTAGATCTCTTTGTGTAAGGGTCTTTGCATGAGTCTCAGATAATACTCTTCAGTTGCATTATGCAGTACTAGCCACAAGAAGAGCAGAAAATGTAACTTCTAACACTCTCATCCCCCTCTAAGGTGGGGGTTGGAGAAGGGTTTTGGCATAGTGCTTATGATGCCCCACACCCCATGTTGGAATGCCTGAGTTTGGGTGCTGGCACTCCCTCCAATTCCACCTTTCTGCTAATCACGCAGGCGGGAGAGCTGGTGCTGATGGCCGAAGTAATTGTGTCCTGCCACCCAACTGAAAGACCTGAACCAAGTTCCAGGCTCCTGGTTGCAGCCTGGCTCAGTACCTGCTATTTGAGGAGTGAACTGCTAGATGTGAGTTTATTTTCCCCTTCTGCCTTCTAAAAAGTTAAGTAAATAAATGAATAAATAAATAAATTTCAGAGACAAAGGGGAGCAAATGTATATTGAGTTGGAAACAACACTGTGTACCAGAAGCTCTGACATCAGCACCATCTACAGTCTTGTGTGGTTATGCCTTTCCTTAGAGTCAGCAATTAAAAGTAAACATCTGCCTGGCCATGTAGCTATGTTTCTGCTATATTCCCTTTATGAAGACCCACAGGGTCCCATTTTGTCTCATTATAAAGAGAAATGATACCTATGCCTTGTCTGGGAATAATCTGCCTTATTTCTGTCAACACTAAGGGACAAAGGAGCTCCACTGTACCCCTGGGCAGCCCAGGTATCCTTACTGACTTCAATGTGAGGGGGATTTCTTGGAACACGTGTACAGATTTATGAATGGCAATCAGTGATTCCTAAGACACTGTTTGGGGAATAATAAATAGGACATTCCACAGGTATCTGATTGTCCACCAGTATTTGGAGACTCATTACAGATGTAGCTCAATGAGTTATATCTCCTCAAAAGTTGTATGTTAAAGCACCAACCCCTGATGTGACTGTACTTGGAAACAAGTTTTATAAGGAGGTAGTTAAAGTTAAATGTAGTCATCAAGCTGGGCCCTAATTTGATGTCTGTGTAAAAGGAGGCAAATGTGTTCATCATTATTATGTAATTATCACCGATTGTCTCTTTTATTGCTATTCGATGTCCTCTGTATCTGAGTTAACATCTATCTTGTTGATGTTGGTATCGCTGCTCTGGGTTCCTTGTGGTTGTCATTTATCTGATACATTTATTCTTTTCAATATCTTGATGTATCTCCACATTTACAGTGTGTCTCTCACAGACAGAATAGTTTGATCTTACTGATCTCTTCTGCTTGCATTATGAATTCATTCAGTTTATATTATTATTAACATAATTAGATTTACAATGACCATTTTACTTTTTTTTCTTTGATAGTGTTTTTTTTAATTAATTATTTTGCATTATGTGACACAGTTTTATAGCCACTGGGATTCCCCCAAATCCTCCCCCCATGGTGGATTTCTCCACTTTGTTGCATTACCACAGTTCAAGTTCAGTTGAGATTCCTTCATTGCAAGCATATACCAAGCATAGAGTCCAGCATCTTATTGTCCAGATAAGTTCAACAGCTTCTTGGGGAGACCATCTCTGGTCTGAAAACAGAGCTGGCAGAGTATCATCCCAATCAATTAAAAGCCCCAACATAACATCAGCAACAATTTATAACGTTATGGAATTAATTGACATAGTATTTAGTAACCAATATGTTAAAAGAAAAAATGCAAGTTCTTAACTACATCCTGTGACTTCTTCTTTGACATTTCAATTTTAGTTTGTATACAACCGCCTTCTATACACCTTACAAAGGTTATAGATTATTATTCAGTTGTCTCGTGTTTATTTTCATTTTAGTATTTAGCATTTTATAGCATTGAAGCATACTTTTGCTGAACCTGGCTGTTTTTCGGATAGTCTAAACTGGCTTATAACTCTAACAAGGCATATGTCAACAGTTTAGGTGTAGAACAGTTTTAGGAGGGGTGTGCAGAGAAATCTTCAATACCTTAGTGAGGAGTAACTAATCTTTGTGTCCCACCTAGTAAGGTATAAGTGAATCCACGCTGACCGTTCCTTGTCTGGTTCTAAGCTTTCCTTGTTGTTCTTTGTCTATCTTTTCTAGATTTTTTGTTTGTTTGTTTGTTTGTTTTGATGGTCACTGTGAGGGAGGGCGGGAACCCAAAGTTGGAACCAAGCAAGGACCAGAGAAAGCTCCCCTCCCTAGTCCCGAAGGAAGTTTACTGTTCTTTTGTTTCTGCAGACCAGTCCACTCAGGGCTCCTGGCTGTTGTCCGATGACCCTGGATCTTGCAAGGCAGGCTTTGGACTTCTTCCATTCCATGTGGGAGATCCAAATGGAGGTGGGTGACCTCAGAGTTCTCGGCCTCTGAAGGCACTCCATTTCCCTGTGGTTTCCTTGGCAATTGGAATGTGGTTTTTGGTGCCCGTATTGATAGTCCTTGGTGAGGATCTGGGAGTTTCCAGGGTTGGGATACAAGCCTCTTCCTGTCTACCTGCTCCACTCTGGGGTCCCCCCTGCTCTGTGCATATGACCTCCTGTTAAGAGGTTGTCAGGATTGCTCTTGATTCCCCCCACATGCCTTTGTAGTTTTACTATTGTCTAATGCTGATTTGAGTCTGTGGACCATGAGTTACCAGTTATGATCCTGATAGGTCATACTTTACGTCTTCCTCACACATTCTAAGGAGATGCAAGATTTCTCTGCTCTCCCGCCCCATTACAGAATAACATAGGGTCTTAAAAGTTTATTAGGTGTTACAATTCTTTGATGTAGATCATAAGGAATCACATTGATTGCTGGTTCATTGGTTACTTCACAATATCTTATTGCATGTGAGATAGGCTGTTTGAGGTTGAGATAACATTACATTTTATAGGTACTATTTTTCATATTGACATCATTTCATCTTAAATTAAGCAAACATGTGGTATTTAACCTTTTGGGATTGGCTCATTTCCCTTAGCATTACGGTTTCCAGTTGGGCCCATTTGGCCACAAACAACTGCATTTTGTTTTTTTTAATAACTGAGTAGTATTCCATGGAGTAAAGGAACCATAGCTTTCTTATCCAGTCATCTGCTGATGGGCATTTTGGTTGCTTCCATGTTTTTGCAATTACTGATTGTGCTGCAATGAACATAGGGATGCATGTTGGTTTCTCGTGTAACAGGTGTTTTGGATATATTCCTAGAACTGCTATTGTTGGATCATATGGTATGCAGATTTTGAGTTGTTTGAGTGTTCTCCATACTGATTTCCATACAGGCTGTACCAACCTGCAGTCCCACCAGCAGTGCAGTAGGGTTCCGTTTTCCCCGCATTCTTGCCAGCAAGTGTTGTTGGTGTTTTTTTGTATGTGGGCCAATCTTACTGGCATTAGGTGGTATCTCATTGATGTCTTAATTTGGATTTCCCTTATTGCCAGGGAGCTTGAACATTTTTTCATGTGTTTGTTTGCCATTTGGGTTTGTTCCTTTGTGAAATGTCTGCCCATTTCCCGTGCCCATTTCTTGAGTGGTTTGTTTGTTTTGGTTTTTGGTTGTTTTGGAGTTCTTTGTATATTCTGGAGATCAGCCCCCTATCACCTATGTAGTGCTCAAAGATCTTCTCCCATTCTGTGGGTTGCTTTTTTACTTTGTTGCTTGTTTCCCTTGCTGTACAGAAGCTTCTTAGTTTGATGAAGTCCCATTTGTTTATTTTGGTCTTGATTGCTATTGCTTTCGGTGTCCTTTTTGGGAAGTCAGGACGTACCCCTAGATCTTGCAGGG